TATACATTACTATGGCAAATTTTCACAGGAAATCCAAAAAAACGAAAAAACTCGAATTCGAAAATTTTTTTTAATTATGTAAAATTTTGAGATATTTATTAAAATTTACACTTTAATTACTCGAAAAACGTAAGATTCAATGTTACACTGATAAACCAAAAAATTGAAAATCCATGAAACAAACGCCTTCTGTTGGTGGGAGATTTGTCAATATGAAAGATGATTTAATTCTTGCCAATTGATTTTCGAAATCTTAATTGATTCAGGGTTATATTGTCATTTATACATTTATAAATATATTTGATTAATTGTAATCCATTTTTTGCGATATCTTCTTTGTTTGCATGTTTTTTATAAAAAATATTGGCCAAATTTGACAAATTTTTATCGTCTAACTAGCAGACCCAGCAAACGTTGTTTTGCCATATAAATTATTTCTAGTGAATATTTTAGTAGATAAATAAAAAATTAAATTAAAATAAATAAATAAATTATAATTAAATTAAATTATAAATTATACATAAAAATTTATCGTACGACAATGATTATATTCAACAGTCATCTTGCAACCCCATTGCAAGATGGCTGTGGGGTGGCCCACCCAAATTTTTTTGGGTGGGTCACCCTTATCACCTAGGGGTATAAAAATGGTTTACGACCTATTCTCAGACCTACCGAATATAGACAGAAAATTTAATAAAAATCAGTCAAGCCGTTTCGGGGGAGTTTGGTTACACACACTGTGAGACTAGAATTTTATATACCTACTTATTAGAAGACAATGAATTTACGATGTTTTTCTTCAATTGATTCAAAAGGACCAAAAGATCAATATCTTGACCCACAATTATGACAGTTTTATTAGTATCTCTGGCACTTTCTATCGAGATCTTAATTATGTCAGCATCAGCATCTTCTTCTGCTTGTTTACAGGAAAATCCTTGTGGCTGTAGATTCCAAAAGTTTCTTTTAAATAAGTCAATTTGTCACGATTCTCTTCAACTAATTCAGCCTGCACGTGTATTTTTATAAACAATGTTGTTCATTCTTCTGATTGGCTAAAATTTTCCGTAGGCCATTCAAGTATATAAGTTATCTTAAAATAGCGATAAATAGGCACCTATGCATATTATTTAAAAATTATCCTACAACTTTAACAAAGTATTGTAGATGTCTTATGAAGTATTAAGTTTATTAACTTATTTGGTTGTTAATTATAGTAGTATATTTCGATTTGCAACTTTTTAATTTATCAATGTAACATGGAATCTCACGTTATTCGAGTAATTAACGTGTAAATTTTAATAAACAGCTGCGAATTTTACATAATAATTAAGAAACCACTTTTTGAATTCGAGTTTCTTCGTTTTTTTGCATTTCTTGTGAAAATTTGCCGTAGTAATATATAATTTTTTTACACCATCAGAAAGTAGAGATTTCAGCGAACAGAAAGCACACCGATTTTTTTAAAAAAGCAAATATTTTGACGTGAGAATTTTCGATTGAAAATTAGGGTAGTTTTTCGATATTAAATCAAAATAAGGCGAAAAAATAAATATTTTGAATAAAAAAATTACAGTGAGTTTGGGACATAAATAGGTAAGTTTTCACCAAAAAAAAAAAATTTTTTTGTGGGAGATAAAAATAAAAAACCAAAAACTCGGTTATTTGCATTTTTCGCATAAATTTTGAGGTTATGTAAAGAAAGTGTAAATACAAAAGTTGTAGATCTTTTTATTATCTATAACTTCGTCATTTAACTTTTTCCGATAGGACTTGTAGTTTTGCCGGAAATCGTGATAAACCGTTTTCTACCCTTAAAAGCTCCCCCTCTTCCACTTCCCGACCTCAGATCGCCCGTAAATTATTTTTCCTTTTGTTTTTGTTATATTTTTTTCCTTTTCCAATGGTTATCATCCTGTTCTAATTTTTTTTCACTTTTTACCATTTTCAAAGGCTTCAGCACTGGCCTATATGAAATTTTAAGCCTGTTATATGTATAGGATAGTTTCACCAAAAATTCTAGGACGCTATCTCAGATTTTTGCCAGGTAAATCTTACTTCAAATTTATATTGTGTAACCCTATATGCATCCATATTGTTATTACGCATATCAATAATTGTAAATTAAAAATAAAATTTATGATGTGAAATATTGCTACTTGTCTTTGAGATTACCTTTTCGACCCAGTTAAATCATTAAGCTTAATGTAGTTACAATGGGAATGGGGTGATTTATTAAATTTCTGCTCTAATTGGTCATTACGTTTACGTCAACCATTTGAATTGCACTATTGTACAAACCATCGAATAAAATTATCTGCTTATTCCTTCCAAAAATTTAAACTTATTAAGAAAAAAATAAATAAATGTTTATTAAGCAATATATCCTGAAATCCAGTGTTGTTTGTGCCTGATAATAAATTTAAGAAATAAAGGTGTGCTATCATCCTAATTTTTTTTAATTAATCCAGATTTTGTTACTCTTATCGTTACTACTATATGAATCAAATAGTACAAGCAAAAAGGAAAATTTACAACTCAAAACTAGCTACTCTGTTAATGTTTTCTGAACAAGTGTAAACAAAATAGAATTAACAATTTAAACAGCAGATCTCGCGGAAGTTTGTTAATTTCTCTCAGAGTTTCCAGAAACGACAACCTCAGGTTTCAGGTCTGTTGGCTGAAAAATTCCAACACTTTACTTAGCCAACCGTAAAACTGACACGTCTGTTTGACACGACGATTAAATATTAGCGCAAAATGCATGTGCAAAGGTTGTAATTTGCACTTTTCTACAGTTTTTTGACTTATTAATTCAGATATTACCTTCGTAAAACTAAAATTTTGAACGTCATGTGGTTGCATATTCTATAAAAAGCTTGTTATCAATGTGTATACGACTGTTCTCTAGCTGCGTTCAGATGTAAATATCACTAACACCATTCTTCTCACGTATGAGGCAATAAAATCAATGCAACTTGTTACATTCCAGCGTTGAATGACGACTATTGCGTATTTTGTGTGTGCGAAGAAGGGTTCGAGTCGTTCGGAAACAGATGAGGTTATCGTCTAGGGACGAGTTTAGTAACATCGCCCACCTGAGACCAAAGTCAGAAGCCAATATCTTTACCCAAGTCTGCAGACGCGTCTGATGCCCTTGCTAATGCGTCTATAGGTAGCCTTTGGAGTTTACAACCGAAACAAAAAGCGCAGAACAACGATATTGTTAACTCGCACTGATCTGCCCACTTTTATATTATAACTATGTATAAATTCCGATAACCTTTACCCTACAGTTATCGTCGTACCTCAAAAGTCTAAAAACAAAAGTCGCACGAAAACAACCCCTGAAAAATTTTTTGTTCTTGTTCGGTGCGTTGGACTCAGAACATCGTATCAAATTACGCTGAACTGCAGAAACAGGGAACTAATTAATCCAACAAAACTGGGGTTGGCTTGAGGCGTCCAATAGCGAACCATTTTCAAGGGTTACTTCATGCCCTATTGGTTTGAAACACGGCCATTGTTAGCTCGTTGTTGAACAACAATAGCGCCATTATGCGTATTTGCATTCATGTTAATTGCATTCAACAACTAATCAGCTGTAATGACCAATCTTCCGTGCATAGCAGTCCATTAAAATGGCGGAGTTTTTACTCGGAAATAGAATTGGACCTGCATCATGGGGGGCTCTTTATTGTTAGTCGTCTTCGTCTTCGCCGCGAAACGAACAACCTCTGCTGCGCCACTCTCGACAAGAAGGTTTTTCTTTTGCGCTTATTGAGCATTGGCGAGCCGTATTATTGTCCTCAATCGAATCAAATCGGTTTGTTGTTGGTCCTAGAGTTTTAATCTAGTCCGATAAGCGGACAAATCGGTGATTGAACCGTATGCGGAGCTTAATTGAGCTTTCGCTCGTAAACATAGGTTTGATTTTTGCGGTCGCCGTATATATTTCTGGTTATGCATAATCAATCCTTTTATGTTGCTTGCTTAATAATGTTTACATCACACGACGGCGTGTTCTTCCGGTCGTAGAAAAAACATCGAGCGACAGTAGTGCGTAAAATTCCGTTTTGGCACTAACGTCATAAAGCTGCAGCGACGAGTCAACCGAAGGTCAGAAATAAACTGCGAACCCTAAAAAACGAAATAATTCAGAAAAGAAACTGAGCAGAGACAGGGAACCGACTTGTTCGGGCTTTTTGCTTCGGAACAAAGTGGGCAGATACAACATCTCCGCCACCCATAAATAATAACTCTTTTGCGTCTTTCAGGGTTCGTGTACGTCCGCACATCACGACGAATTAATCAACTTCGGCACCTGCATTCCATTAGTCCATCCAGTGGCGTATCGATAAAGCCACCCTCCTGCCATCAATTCCACGCACGCCCTCCTGTCAATTACCTCGCAGCGATCCCCTTATTTTCAAGGTTATCCCGTAACACCCTTAACCTGGCAAATCCGTATCGTTTAGACAAAATTCATTTGTCTGTGCGTCTGGAATAAATAGTCTGGAGAGAAGCCGGACATATTCGGAGGGTGGCGTACGTAGCGCGCAGTCTGAATCGTTACTTTTTACGACTGCTATAAAATGTACGGGAAATAATTCGGACCGCAACCCCCAGGACAATGGGCAGGAACGACACCACAAATCATGTATTGAAATCTAATGTAATAAAGTGGAGCCGGATTGCATTTCCTGCTCGGTAGGGATGTAACTGACCAGCAGCACGTGTTCCGGGCCTTTGTCGTCTTTAAACGATTTTTAATAATGACGGAAACAAATCACCGAAGGAAAATTTACGTCTATTTAAAAGTACTTTTATCAAAACTGTCTTGACAACTTGTCATCAACACTAGCTTTTACCGCATACCAAAACCTGGAACACCCAATACGTTTAAGTCTCATCAAGTTTGCCTCTTGGCACTCGTCATGTTATAGTCGATTAATGACCTCCACACGTTCTTAACTCTCCGTTTTGTTTGGTTCCAGGCAGCTCGGATTGCCAACTTCCATGACCAATTCAGTAGACTTGTCACCGGCGGCCCATAAAGAGCGCTGCAGCAAACTAGAGTACCTGGTCGAGCGCCAAAAGCAACTGTGTTCCTTACACGACAGAATATTACCTGTAAGTGCCGGCCGTCCGCGAATTCCGCCTCGTCTTATTTTCTCTTGTCCAGGTCCTCGGAAATGGCGCCAAGTTGGCGATGGACGAGTGCCAACATCAGTTTAGGAATAGTAGATGGAATTGTACGGCGTTTCCCGAGAAGAACGTTACGTTCGGAAATGTCGTAACAATTAGTATGTTTCCGAGTGCGGAAAGTTGGTTGTGTTGTAAGTAAAGGAGTGTTGCAGGAAGTAGGGAGGCGGCGTACTTATCGGCGGTGTCGGCGGCGAGTGTAGCTTTCGCGGTGACGCGAGCGTGTTCCAAGGGGGATCTGGCGGACTGTTCCTGCGACACGAGGATAAGGCAGAAGAAGTCGCAGAAGTGGAAATGGGGAGGGTGTTCGGAGGACATAAGGTACGGGGAGAGGTTCAGCAGGGAGTTTTTGGATGCCAAAGAGGATGTCAACACGGCCACGGGCCTGATGAATCTTCATAATAATGAAGCAGGAAGAAGGGTGAGTGGAACTTTTTAGAACTGGAAAAATGTCTTATTCAATATGTTTAACACATATACTAAAAGGACGCATAAGGTGATAGGTCAAAAAATAATTACAGACAATTAAATAATATCTAAAAGATATCGACATTTAATGCGTGGTGTGTTATAAATTTATCTTTAAATAACATATGCCATTTGACATTTAGCACTAAATAAATTTTATTCTAGTGTATAAATATCGCATGTTGTAATAGAAAATATATTTATAAAGTAATCTGTAAATATAAATTAGACAAGTGTGAAATATCTAAACCGCCGTGTAATTTTAATCACCTTATAGTGTGAATTATTACCCTGCGATGATGCATAGTATTGTGCAAGCATAAAATACTATGCTAATAAGCCTACGGTTATTTTCACAACATCTAGCGACCCATTTCCTTAGTGCGATTAATAAAGAAAATTATTTCTCATGTCCATAAAAAAATTAATGTCAGTTAAAACGGTTGTTACAGGCAGCTGCAATTTTTTCCGAAAATTGTTCTTTAAAAATTAGGTATCATCGGAATTAAATGATGAACAGGAAATTAGCTTACAAAAACATTAAAATGAATACACTTACCCAAAGTACAAACCTTTAGTAATTCGGAATATCGGAAAATAAATTCTGTCCTATAAAACTCACTTAAACGTCTAAATAACTATAAAATCATTAATAGTAATAACTCGAAAGTTGAAGTCCGATCAAGTCTTTGCAAGTCAAAATCAAAATGAGAATCTGGTGGTGTCAAAAGCCAACAAACGCAATTGCAGTAAATAATTTTCTAAACAATGGTTCCTTTAATAAAAATTCACATCCGAAATCGAAAATCATAATTGCATTCCATTTTTAGACATACGCATTGTATCCAGGCGCGGATCCAGGGGGGGGGGACAATGGGTGCAATTGCCCTCCCCCCCCTGACAAACGACCGAGGTACTTTATTTTGACCAATTTCAAAATTTTGAAATCGCATTTCATTTTGTAAATACAGTATTGTACTGTATAATCCAAATTCACGATTATTCGAACATCCAGTAATCCGAACAGAGGCTATTTGAAGTCAATATCTCTTTAATCCGAACAAAAACTCTGCAATCCGACCTGAACTTGAAAACGCACCTACTTGCAAAAATGACTGGAAAAAAGGTTGAAGTTATCGAAGAAATGAGGCCCGAAATCTACAAGAAAAAGTTGTTAGTTAAATTTCGAAAATCGTCGAAAATGGGTCGAAATTTGCATGAGGGAAATTTCATTTTTGAAAAAGTATCCTAAAAATTTTGAAAAAATTCAGGGATATATGTATATCCCGACGTGCTGATTCCAAAAAGATAGTATGTTAATGGTAACCGAGCATTATTTTCGGAAAATTCGTGTGAAATTTGAATTTTTTGAAATTTTAAAAAATTGCGACATTTCAACTGGACGAATCTGGAAAAATGGTTTAAGTTATCGAAGAAATGAAGCCAGAAGTGACTTCTGATGCCCAAAATCTAGAAAAGAAAATGTATTTAGTTAAATTTCGAAAATCGTCGAGAATGGGTCGAAATTTGCATAATGGTGGTATGTAATACATAATGAAAAATTTCATTTTTGAAAAATTCATCTAAAAATTCTGAAAAAATTCAGGGTATAGTTCCCGACGTGTTAATTCCAAAAAGATAGTGTGTTTATGGTCACAGAGTAATATTTTTTTAGAATGAATCTATTATGCATTGTTGCTTAAGAATTCTTTAATTTTGTTTAATAAAATTAAGGTTTGTTTCTTGAAGTTTGTTTTCAACTGTGTATGAAGTTGTTATTCAATTCCCTTACAGATTTTTGGGAAAATCGCTGATCCGAACAAATCGTTAATCCGAACACACCTTTTTCCCAATTAAATCGGATTATCGAGGTTCTACTGTACACTATACGTGTAACGGAAACAACCAAATGTCACCCATGTTATGTGAAAAAGAGTATACTAACTAAAAGTTTATAAATTTTTTTGTTTAGAACGAATTTCTGGGAGATAGGTAAAATCGCACAAAAATTGCCCCCCCCCCCTAAACGAAATCCTGTATCCGCGCCTGATTGTATCAGTCATTAATTTTCTTATAATATTTAGAGAAAACCTACCACTACTACCGAAACCTTGTCCCATAAATTCACAGCATTTAATTCTTTATTCCTTAGATTATTCCACATTTCCCTAAGTCATGAAGCCTTTGAGAGTGGAATTGGTAGCATTAAACAAATTGCCATTAATAATTTCTCTTACACCTACTTAATTATGAAAATCGTCTATAAAACTCTATATAAACATCAACTCTCCAATTCATATCAATTTCCAATCACAGGCTATTCCCCGTTTTGCCCTCTATCTCCTTTTTTCAAAATTTTCAAAAAACTAGATTATAACATTGCTTTTAAGACTTTCTCTAACCTTTCTTCTTTGTTTGTAAGAAACAAATGCATTGTCCCTATTTTCTCTATTTCGGGCGTTGGTCCTTGCGATGGATTGCGTAGATGGGGTACCTAATAACTGCTCCGTACTCCAATCTTCATCTTACGATGACAGAGCTTTTGCAGTGATAAGCAAGGATCTATTTTATCGTAAGCTTGTTCTAAATCAGTGTATATCACCTCACATTGTCCATTACCATCAATTACTTTCGATATATATTGGGAAAATACAGCTAAATTTGTAATGGTCGAGTTTTTCTGGACAAAACCATGCTGGCTAGATGAAGTCAATAGCTTTGCCAAGTATCGAAATACCTCTATAACTTGTCACCTGATTCTGCTGTCCCTTCTTTAGAATGGGACAAATATAACCCTTCTTCTAAAGTGATGGAAAGATGGATTATTAAATTAAATATAATACAAAGTGGCTGAACAAGAATCTCGTCATAACAGGTTCTGGAGGCAATGGACAATCCGGTAAGGCTTCCCGAAAAGCTTCAAATGAGCTTTAAGAAACACTTTCTTTACGTTGGAGATTAAACCATTGACATTAAACTAGTAACATCTTAGGCAGTATTAGCCCCGCCCAGCCACCGGTATATCATTTTCCAAAATCAGTCCTATCTTAGCAAGTACTATCCCCCCCCCCCCCCCCCCCAACCGCCCTTTATTTTCTTATCGTTTATTAAAACTAGTTTTATTTTAGCAAGTACTAGCCTCGCTAACCCATCCTCTATTCTCTTAGAGTGTCATTTTCCAAATTCAGCCTTATCTTAACAAGTACTGGCCCCGCCCGCCCACCCTTTATTTTCTGAGAGGGTATGTTATTTGGCAATATTAGTCTTATGTTGCCAAGTACTAGGCCCGCCCACCCGCCCTCTATTTTCTGAGAGGGTATGTGATTTGCCAATATCAGTCTTATGTTGCCAAGTACTAGGCCCGCCCACCCGCCCTCTATTTTCTGAGAGGGTATGTGATTTGCCAATATCAGTCTTATGTTGCCAAGTACTAGCCCCGCCCACCCGCCCTCTATTTTCTGAGAGGGTATGTGATTTGGCAATGTCAGTCTTATGTTGCCAAGTACTAGCCGCCCCCCCACCCGCCCTTTATTTTCTGAGAGGGTATGTTATTTGGCAATATCAGTCTTATGTACTACCCCCGCCCATCCGCCCTTTACTTTCTTAAAGAGTAGGTCATTTGCTAAAATCAGGCAATAATTTGGCAAATACTAGCCCTGCCCACCCGCCCTTTATTTTTTTAGGGGCTATTGATTTTGCCAAATGGCATACCCGCTAAGAAAATAAAGAACGAGTGGACGGGGCTAGTATTTGCCAAGATAAGACTGATTTTGGCAAAAGACCTACTCTCTAAAGAAAAGAAGGGCGAGTGGACGGGTACTTAGTAGGATAAGACTGATTTTGGCAAATAACATATCCTCTAAGAAAAGAAAGGATAGATATTGGACAAAATGAAAAAAAAGCAGACAAATTTTCCTTAGAAATAAAGCACACAATAAATTAATCACTCAAATTTCAAACATTGGTATAACTAAGACTAATTCAGTTTTGCCAATCACATATTAGAATTTGGATATTTCTTTCAACCCGATTCTTTCCTTTCTTCCCTCCTAACTATATTTTTTAAATCGTTCCATGTTGCCTTCCTCTTCACGTCCGGTTTTCTCTCTTTCTGTGCTTTACACTTGGTTTTTCTTTTTCGAAAGATATTTTCAATTTTTAATAACTCTACATTTTTCTACTGGATATTTGTCGAACCCTCGATATGCGGTGTCTATTACCACTTTATTTCTAGAATACTCGATAGATGGCGCTGGTTACATTTTTATTTCTAATACTTGATAGATGGCGCCAATTACCTTTTTAGTTCTAGAACACTTGTTAAATCTCTTCAATTTACTTTTGTATTTCATGTTTCGTTTTTTTCATTTCCTAGTTAGACCTTGAGCAGGTCTCAAGCTTAATTTGTATAATTATATAATTATTAAATTTTTTGCAAGCTAATTTCCTGTTCATCATTTAGATCTAGTAGTAGCCCTCACTCCACAACAAACCCTAATTATTCCCATATTTTTGGGATAATACTTACTACTTATTGCCACTGGGAGAAGAAGATCTGAACTACTACATTTTACACAAAATTTTCTTTCCAGGGAGTCAGATCCCGAATGCAACGTACTTGCAAATGTCACGGAGTTTCCGGTTCGTGCAGCATGCAAATCTGCTGGAAGCGCCTACCGCCCTTCCGACAAGTAGGTGAAGCTCTCTTCCAGCGCTACGAAGGCGCTTCCCACGTGAAATTCGTGGAAAGGCGCCGGAAAAAGCTCCGCGCTATAAGTCCCGACCTGAAGAAACCCAACAAGACCGACTTGGTCTATCTTGACGAATCTCCGGATTATTGCGAGAAGAATGAAACGTAAGGAAAATATTTTTGGTCGCGATATGAACTGTCGGACATTATTTGTTTCAGATTGAACATTTTGGGGACCCACGGCAGGGTGTGCAATCGCACCAGTCAAGGGATTGACGGCTGCAGATTGCTCTGCTGTGGCAGGGGCTACCAGACGCGCGTGCGGGAAGTGGAGGAGAAGTGCAAGTGCCACTTCGTCTGGTGCTGCAACGTCGTCTGTGAGATTTGCAGGTATAGGAAAGAGGAACACGTCTGCAACTAGACTATGAACTGTGACGATCGACTGAAGATACCGAAGACTACGATATACTTACTCAATACGTCCTCGTATTAACAAGATAACCAGAATTGTTTTCTCATGTATCAACTGTAGATAATTGTAATAACTCGTTTCTTCAAAATTTGTCTGTTTAGATTTAGCTCGTCATCGTTTTATACAACTTTAGGATCTAAAGTCGTTTGATATTTATTGCAATTATCTCAAACTCACGACTGCTTCGACCATTCTCATCCAGTAAATGTATCATCACGTTGTATATTTATTTATGTGTTTGCACCTAGTACATAATTTAATGATGTGGAATGTATTGAAATTTATATAGATCTGTACATAGATTTTTAATATATTTATTAGGTACTTAATAATTGTAGTAGAGCTAAGTTCATTGTACATAGTTAATTTAATTATAAACGTAATTTATGTCGTGTTCAATCAAAACATTAAAACTAGCTCATCTATGAATTGCTCTGGTGATAAAATTATTTTTCCAGTGTATTTAATGTGCCATAAATCCATTCGATTGACACTCAAATTCCTTCTCTGTACTGTCTTCACAAAGAAAATCGTACCGTAATAAATTAATAAACTCTTTGTGTACATACGTGAATTTATATTGCCCCTTAACCCTTCACGTTGTTTTTTAACCAAAAATCACTTCTAAATATGTACTAAGCTTAAATAAACTAAAATAAATTTCGCTACTCACCCAACCAATTTTTTTTCGTTCAAACAACGAATCAACTGGAGATTTAAATCTGGGTTCTGGGAACCCATTTACACGCATACTTCATTGTATTATTCTAAACCTCATTTAAAACAAGATTAACGCCAACGATAATGGGAATGAAATTATATCAAAGTGTAATTTTGAATAGTTTTATCGTCCCTATATGTTCACAAACACACAGTCTTTCCCACAATTTTTATTAATAAAGATAAACTACGCATATTACTGACTGTCAAATGAATAAAATCTGAGAGTATTTTATTATCTGATTTTCTGTTCGAACGAAGAAGTTCTGCAAGGTTTCGAGGCAGGTCCGCCTCAAGGTCATTTAACCTGGCTGACTGATCATATCAACCTCTCGATTTTTTGTAGACAATGGAGATTAATTTAACAGATCGAGGTAGGTATTTACGATCTTTATGAAAGTTTTTTCTCAAAATTTTAATAATTTTGATATCGATTGGCAATATCTTCAAAAACTCAGTTATAATTTTTTCAATTTATCAAAAATATTATCACAATTATTACAGGGTGAATTTCGGTACCAATTCAAGCGCCTCCACCATTTTTGTTCCCATTTTGCACAGCTACCAACTTTAAAAAATAAAACAGTACCAAATCTAGTCAAGTGAGGCGGCCATTTTCTGAAAATTCGTTACTATGACTAACACACTTGATTTCTAACTTGAACAAGCGATTGGTAACTGGGGGCAAAATTATAACCTAATAATTATTAAAAAATTCTTCTTGAATTCAAATTAACACGCTGGTTGGCAACCAACATAACACTAGTAATTTTACTAACCTGGAATATCTCCCAGTAACCATTTTCAGCACCCTGGACACCTTACACTGTGACCGAATTTATAGGAAAATTAGACACTTATTATTAGTCAGTATTGTGGGAAAACACTATTTTAACACTTTTATGCCGAATTTGAGTAATTACTTTCGAAATTTTTCAACTTTTAACCCAATTATTCGTGAAAACGCGCAGCCATTATGCAATTTTTTCGCAAAATAAAATTCACTTGTTTGTGACATATGAACCCACTTGATTTTAAAAGTGGTGAAAATTAACAAGACAAGTAAAACGGGATGGGGCGGGGGTGGGGCGAACAAATCAATTAAAAAAAATAAAGAACATTATTAAACGGAATTTATCAGATTAAAAACTGAGGCAGAGTTTATTTAACTGTGGGTTGACTGTATTTGTTTTTAATTTTTAATTGCAAGTTGTATAGGCAACCACCAATACACATGTGTAATTTCGGTAATCTATGCAAGCACTTTAGTATTCGATATGTTTGAATAAATCATTTTAATTTTATTTACAAAATAAGTAAATATCTGACCCGAATTAACCACAGAAATATTCTTTTATTTATTAAAATTCGTTATTTATAAACACTTATTCACACAGACAAACGTTAGATTATCAAGTCATTAAATCGGTTAAAAAATTTGTTCAATCTGACAGATTTTTCTTCTAGAGACATTGTTGTTGCTGATAATCTCTCCATGGCTGTTGTAACTGTAGAGAACTCCTTTAAACTAGATGAGGTGGTCATTTTACAACAAACTTTGGGAAACTTCGCGTTTGTTGCACAGATTTGTGATCTCAGAAATCTCAGCAGCTCCTTTGGTACCGGTCTTTGCAGATTCACTAAATACATCAGGGGTCCACAATGCACGACAGGGATACAGTGAAACCCAACATCACACGGTTGCTTCTCTGGTTGTTCTAAAAACTTGTATGTTCACTGATAAAAATTGCGAGATAAAAATACTTACCTTTGGTTATTGTAGCACTAGGAGTAGCAACTGTATGTGCGTCCTCGCTGAATCCACTCTTCTTTCTAAAATAAAAAAAAGTATTAGTATCTGATAAAATACCAGTAAAAGAAATCTTACAACGTATCGTCTTCATCACAACTTTTGCTTTGTGACTGATTTATAAATAGTGAAATGCAGACGATAAAAGCTAAAATTCTGTGATAAATCATGATGACACGACTTTCAGAAAGCAAGAATGTACTACAAACTACATCCAAAGCGAGATAGCATTTATAGTACTGACAAACAAATCCAACTAATGTCTTTCCAGGAAGACCGGTTATCACCGCTTCATTAGAAACTCCTTTCTTCCTAATAGTGGACCTAATGGTTTGAAAATCGTTATTACCATAGTCCTAAGTGATTGATGTCTTTAAAGTGTACTTTAAAATCATAAATTCTTACGACCATCCCCACTCAGTATCAGGTGGGGGTCATACGACGGGAACACGAAAACAGTACCAATTCTCCAAAAACCCTTTATCGAAAGTTTTTCTGAAGAGTAATCCAAATTATATACGAAACTCTTTCTTGTGATGTTTTTGCTATTTGTGACTTCGTTTTTGTGTGTGATTTTCATAGGACGATCTATACTAATAGGTAGTACTTTTATAGTGAATATTCATAGGAGAGATTAAAATATAGATATTTTTTAGACCCGACATGTGGCCCGCCCCACAGAACAGGAACATGTACCTTAATAACCGAGTGCCCTTACTTTATGAACTTAATAGGCCACGCAAAGTTAAAACCAGTACCACGGCCTGTGTTACACCAGGTGAAAACAAACATGTGTGGACAACAGGACCAAACTTACAAAGTGTGTTGTCCTGAAGACAACCACGATCTCAGCAGCCACCGGAATTTCCATTTGTTACCATTGACAACGTGTGGGTTCGTCCTTCATGGGGGTAGAATTACAAACGGGGACACAGCTAGCCCTCGAGAGTTTCCCTGGATGGCTTTAATCGCGTACAAAACAGGTCGGTACTTTTACAAATCTTGAGAAAGTACAACTACTTGATTGTTGTAGAAGACGAGAACGAATTTAAGTGCGGGGGGAGCCTCATCACCAGAAACTATATTTTAACGGCGGCTCATTGCGTAGATGATAAATCCGTGTAAGTCGTGGTGAGTACCAAATAGTACTAAAATAATGCTTCGTGCTTTAGGCTGGGTGTTCGTCTGGGGGAGTACGACATATCGCTAGAGCACGAGTGTGACGACCATCAAAACTGCGAACCTCCAGTCCAAGACATAATAATAGACAAAGTAATAATCCACAAAAATTATAACCCTTCCACTTACATCAACGACATAGCTTTAGTTCGACTGCTAGTTCCAGCAAATATCGAAAATGGTAATTTTTAACTCAAAATTTTCAAAAAAAAACTTCATTTTTTTGTTCTAGCTAATATAAAACCTATCTGTTTACCAACCGGCGACCTACTCAAAACAAACTTATTCGGAAAATATTTGACGGTAACCGGGTGGGGTACCACCGAATCAGGTTTGTACTTAAATCAGTTTGTAGAATATAAATAAAACTAAGAACTTTGTAGGTCATAAAAGTATGATTTTGAAGAAAGTTTCGGTTCCAGTGGTTCGACTAAGTGCGTGTCGAAGGGCGTACGGGAAACAGATTCTACATCCGAAGAAACAGATTTGTGCTGGTGGGCACGAAGGGAAGGATTCTTGTTCTGGAGACAGTGGAGGCCCTTTGCAATATATTGCTGCGACAGGGGGGTCGCAGCGGTACGTTCAAGATGGTATAGTGTCGTATGGGCCGAAACAGTGTGGCCTGGAAGACTGGCCTGGGATTTATACGAACGTTAAGGAGTACATGTCGTGGATACTGGATAATATAGGACCATAGTTGTAATATTCTTACAAATTGTGTATATAGCAGTTTTTAATATATTTTTTAAGTACCGGCTGATAATGATTAAATTTTTGAGTTGGCAATGTTGATTACCTTTGCGAGGATGTTATGCAACACACTTAACACGTGTTTAAATGGTTGCCTGCACACATTTTCGATTTTGTTTAAGAAATTAAATTTTAAGAGCTCGAGCAGAAAAAGCAAACACAAAAGAAAGTCGTTTGACAAAAAAGTTATGATACGATAACATAAGGTTATAATTGTTAAATAAACTTATGTAACAATAAATGCTTACTCTAGGAAATGTCGAAACGCATGGTAAATAAACAATGATATTAATAGTTCATAATTACTCCAATAAATGCACAACGTGCATCAAGTTTTTCACCTTGTGACGCACTCGATGCAACTTCCTGACGATAATTAAAAAAATAGAAACCTCACTAACTCTACAACCGCACGCAAACCACTAGCTATCTCATCTGTGTGATTTTTCAAAATGATTCAAAAATATTCTTGCTTATTTTTAGTGTTTGTTCCAATTTCCGTGATTTCGGCCCACCACCACCGTAAGTACCAAAGTACTACATTCTACAATTACTATAGTTATAAAATTCTAGGACTAATTTATTACTGTCGCCCCCCTTACGTCTGCACGGAACTCTCTCGCTGCCGATCCCCCAACGACTTGCTTTTTTTCCAGAAAAACTACTGCGGTTTTGGTGCCAACGAAGCCAAAATTTGCTGCCCGATGCTGACAGAGACAACTACAAGCAGCTCCCGCATTATCAGAAAAAACGACGACGTAGTCGGCCACAAAAATTTTCGACTTCTGCCTTTCGATAAGTGTGGTGTTGTTTCTAGTCGGTTGAGGATTACTGCAGGGGTCAGTTGTAGTCTGGGGGAATTTCCTTGGATGGCCTTGATAGCGTACAAAACAGGTAAATAGGAAAATAGGTGGTGTTGAAAAAACTCATTGCAACTAATTCTTAAAGAAAATATTACGAGGTAAAGTTTACAGTTTTATTTGTACGAAGGTCAAGCGAGTAATTCATTTAATTACACTTAAAGTTCTAATTAATTAAATTAAGTGGTGCGATTTTCTTAACAAAATTTTGTGAAGCAGCCCCGTAGCTAGAAAACTTATTCAGGGGGGGGCAAGTTTGTCGACAGAGGGGGCTTCATGTAAATATTTATATTTTAATAATACACTCAGGTAACTGCTTTATTTTTTCTGAGTTTTTATATTTGAAAGAACATTAAAATAATTGGAAACGTCGATTTTTTACGCTAAATTTTCGTAAAAACCTGTCCAAAAAATTAGTACGGTACTTGGTTAAAATGCTGGTTAAAACAGAGAATGTAGATTCACAAACAGCTGTACTGCATCCAAAAATTTGTGTAGTGGCCATATAGGTAAAATCCAATTTGTTTGAGTTTATTTTTTTGCATGTTTAGTACATATTTTAAAAATCCGACTTCGAAACCAAATATTTCGAAAATTTTGGTACGGAACCATGAACTCGTCATGTTTTTTTAAACTCGTCGAGATGTGTATTTCAGAATTTTTTGTCAACTTTAACAAAAGCTCAATTTTTGGAAACCCATATAAAATTTTTGACTTTTCCCAAGCATTTTCGAAAATTACCAAAAGAATTCCTTTGTTCATCTCGATTTCTTCCAAAAATCGTTTTGGATTCAATTTTTTTGAAAATTCTTACATTTTTTCCAGAATCGACGGGAGAAATATGGCAATTTTTGAGAACCTGTATCAAATTTTTGACTTTTTTTCAAGCACGTTCGAGATTACCAAAAGGGATTCCTTTATTGATTTCGATCTCCAGATGTTGTTTTTAATTATTTTTTCGAAAATTCGTACAATTTTTCCACAATCGCCAAAAGAAATATGGTAATTTTTGAGAAATTTTGAAAATTCCAGCTCGAAACCGAGTATTTCGAAAATTTTGATCCGGAACCTTGAACCTGTCATGTTTTTTTAAGCTCGTCGAAATCTATATTTCAGAAATTTTTGTCAACTTTTACGAAAGTTCAATTTTTGAAAACCCATATAAAATTTTTGGCTTTTCCCAAGCATTTTCGAAAATTACCAAAAGAGATTCCTTTGTTCATCTCGATTTCCAGAAATCGTTTTGGATTCAATTTTTTTGAAAATTCTTACATTTTTTCCAGAATCGACGGGAGAAATATTGCAATTTTTGAGAACCTGTGTCAAATTTTTGACTTTTTTTCAAGCACGTTCGAGATTACCAAACGGGATTCCTTTATTGATTTCGATCTCCAGATGTTGTTTTTGGTTGTTTTTTCGAAAATGCGTACAATTTTTCCACAATCGCCAAAAGAAATATGGTAATTTTTGACAAATTTTGAAAAATCGAGCTCGAAACCGAGTATTTCGAAAATTTTGATCCGAAACCATGAACCTGTCATGTTTTTTTAAGCTCGTCCAAATCTGTATTTCAGAATTTTTTGTCAACTTTTACGAAAGTTCGATTTTTGAAAACCCATATAAAATTTTTGACTTTTTCCAAGCATTTTCAAAAATTATCAAAAGAGACTCCTTTGTTCATCTCGATTTCCAAAAATCGTTTTGGATTCAATTTTTTTGAAAATTCATACAATTTTTCCAGAATCGACGGGAGAAATATGGCAATTTTTGAGAACCTGTGTCAAATTTTTGACTTTTTTTCAAGCACGTTCGAGATTACCAAAAGGGATTCCTTTATTGATTTCGATCTCCAGATGTTGTTTTTGGTTATTTTTTCGAAAATTCGTACAATTTTTCCAGAATCGCCAAAAGAAATATGGTAATTTTTGAGAAATTTTGAAAATTCGAGCTCGAAACCGAGTATTTCGAAAATTTTGATCCGGAACCATGAACCTGTCATGTTTTTTTAAGCTCGTCCAAATCTATATTTCAGAATTTTTTGTCAACTTTTACGAAAGTTCAATTTTTGAAAACCCATATAAAATTTTTGACTTTTCCCAAGCATTTTCATTATCAAAAGAGACTCCTTTGTTCATCTCGATTTCCAAAAATCGTTTTGGACTCAATTTTTTTGAAAATTCTTACAATTTTTCCAGAATCGACGGAAGAAATATGGCAATTTTTGAGAACCTGTATCAAATTTTTGACTTTTTTCAAGTACGTTCGAGATTACCAAAAGGGATTCCTTTATTGATTTCGATCTCCAGATGTTTTTGGTTTTATTTGGTTGAAAAGTCGTAAAATTTTTCAGCAATCGCCAAACGAAATGTAATTTTTGAACTTTGAAACCGAATGTTTCGAAAATCTTGATCTGGGACCATCTAGACCTTGTATTTTTTGATTGAGCTCGTCGAGATCAACATTTCAGATTTTTTTGTGGATTTTTAGTCAACTTCAACAAAAGCTAAATTTTTGAAAATCTATAAAATGTTTTTGACTTTTCCCAACCGTTTTCGAAAATTAGCAAAAGGGATCTCTTTATCGATTTCGATCTCCAAATGTTGTTTTTGGTTTTATTTTCTCGAAAATTTGTACAAATTTTCCAAAGCCGCCAAAAGAAATGTAATTTTTGAGAAATTTTGAAATGTCGACTTTGAAACCGAATTTTTCGAAAATCTTGGTCTGGGACCATAAAGACCTTATGTTTTTGGATTAAGCTCATCGAGATCTACATCTCGGAATTTTTTGTTGATTTTTTGTTAATTTCAACAAAAGCTCAATTTTTGAAAATCCATATACATTTTTTGACTTTTCCCAAGCATCTTCGAAAATTAGCAAAATGGATCTCTTTATTGATTTCGATCTACAGATGTTATTTTTGGTTTTATTTTTTTGATATTTCGTCGAATTTTTCCACAATCGCATAAAGAAATAACTTTTTTTTTAAGTCATCACTTTTGAGATTTTTTAGAAATTTTAGGTAGAAACCCAATATTTCGTAAATTTTGCTCCGGGAGCATGAACATGTTTTTCGATTAAGCTCATCGAGATCTATATTTCAGAATTTTTGTCAACTCTAACAAAAGCTCAATTTTTGAAAACTAAATAAATTTTGACTTTTCTTAAGCATTTCCAAAAATTACCAAAAGTCATTCTTTTATTTATTTCAATCTTCAGATGTTGTTTTTGGTTTTATTTGATCGAAAATTTGTAAAATTTTTCTAGAATCGTCAAAAGAAATAGGAGTATAATTTTTGAGAAATTTTAAAAAGTCGACTTGGAAACCGAATAGCAGCAAGACCTTATGTTTTTTGACTAAACTCGTCGAGATCTACATCTCAAAATTTTTTGTAGATTTTCAGCCAATTTCAACAAAAGCTCAATTTTTGAAAATCTATAAAAAAAATTTGACTTTTCCCACGCATTTTCGAAAACTAGCAGAAGGGATCTTTTTATTGATTTCGATCTCCAAATGTTTTTTTTTTTGGTTTTATTTTTTCGAAAATTCGTACAATTTTTCCAGAGCCGCCAAAAGAAATGTAATTTTTGAGAAAGTTTGAAATGTCGACTTTGGAAGCGAATTTTTGAAAAATCTTGGTCTGGGACCATCAAGACCTTATGTTTTTTGATCAAGCTCATCGAGATCTACATCTCAGAATTTTTTGTCGATTTTTTGTCCATTTCAATAAAAGCTCAATTTTTAGAAAATCCATATAATATTTTTGACTTTTCTCAAGTACATAGTAGGCTATGGAATAAAATGTGACATGTTCATTTTTTTATACGGTCCAGATCAACGGTAGTGTGATACTGCCAAATAATATACCATGTAAGAAAATAAAGGTGGGGCGGGTGGGGCCAGTTAATATGCTTCGGCAATCGGCATTATATTGAAATTTTATTACTAATTTGAAATTTATAATGTATGAGTCTTCCAGGGGGGGCAACCACAACTGCTAGGGGGGGCTCAGCCCCCTCTTGCCCCCCCGTAGCTACGGGGCTGTTGTGAAGTCGCATTTAAAAATGTTTGAGATGACGTTACCCTTCAAGGTTATATTAAATAGGCAAACGGAAACGGCAGACCGACTTTTCGTGTTCTAGAAGCTCTGAAACATCCAGAAAACGTAGTTCAGGTTCAAATATTTAAAAAATGCTCCGATTACAACTGAGCTGTGAAAAGATTGGTTTTTCTCCTATAATTATATGTACCTACATACTTCAGATATATGTATTACGTCGGCTATAATTTAATTTTTGATGTAATGTGGGATTTTCCCATTTACTAATATTACTAATATTTGTTTTACTGACCTGATTAAAAGCGAAAGGTGGAACAGAGAATGTTTTAAGTGACTGTTCAAAAAAAATACAAATCCTGAATTGCAAAAAAAAATAGAATAAGAAAAATAAATGCTTAATTTCTTGTTTAAAATTCGTGTATTATAACACAACATAAACCAATGAAGTTTTTAACATTAAATATAATACTTTTTGAGGCCATTTTTTATTCTTTGTGAGATGCCATTAAACTTAGCTTTTCGTATTGAAAATCGAATTAATGCAATTTTGCTGAAAATCTTTCATTTTGTTGCGCAACTACTTTCCAAGGAAGCAAATCATCTTCAGCCAGCGGGTTCACCGATATTCAAACGAGTTTTCTCGGTCGTTCTTCGAAACATTTCTTAATAAATATTCACCAGATTACAATAATGTAATTTCCGCATTATAACACGTAAAAACGTGTTTACGTCGTTCTAAATCCGACTGTCAAAAGTCACGCTTATAAAATTTTTTTAGGAAATTCCACGACCCAACAGGACTTCAAATGTGGCGGAACATTAATCACCGACCAATACGTCCTGACAGCTGCACACTGCATCGACAACCAAACAATGTAAGCAATCATTCCCAACAAGTCTAAACATGTCCAACGGTACCATTTTTTCAAGCTTAGGAGCCCGTTTGGGCGAATACAACATAAACACAGAGCGAGATTGTGACCCGAATGGCCAACATTGCCAACCTCCTGTGCAAGATTTATTAACTGACAAAACCATCATTCATCCATTTTACGACCCATCGAGTTTTATTAATGATATAGCTTTAGTCAGACTAGCGACACCAGCGAGTTTTAGTGGTAGGTACTTGGTGGTACAAAGCGTCTGGATAAAGTCGTACTATTGTAGACAACGTCAGCCCTATTTGTCTCCCAGTCGGTGAACTTCTAGATGTGGATCTGGTTGGACGGGAGTTGACAGTGGCAGGATGGGGAACCACCGAAGACGGTAATACGACTGCCACCCTTCGCAAGGTTTCCGTCCCGGTGGTACCCACCCCCACGTGCCGCCGCTTGTACCGCGGTCTCAAACCCATCTCCCGGAAACAGATTTGCGCAGGGGCCGACCATGGCAAAGACTCGTGCGCCGGGGACAGCGGAGGCCCCCTCAAACGCGTCGATTCCATCGACGGTACGCCACGGTACGTCCAGTACGGGATAGTGTCCTTCGGGCCGTCGAAGTGCGGTCTGAGTAGGCGACCAGGAATCTACACCAACGTCCAGAAATACATGGAGTGGATCTTAGACAACCTAGAGTAACCGGGAAAACCTAATTGCGCAATCTTATTACTATACAAAAAAAATTCGTGTTCATTCATGTTGTAGTTTTATTCACCTTTAAAACCACACATGAGGGTTTGAGATTCCTGAATGAGTACCGCTACCGTTTTGCTAATGTTAAGCAGTGACGTTGAGAGACTGCAACATTTAAAAGACTACAAGGACGGTTTCCAATCAGTGGTTCGCAAGTACTCGCTCGAAATGGGCTGCAGACTGAGTTTGAGGTTCGGCGTTTTCGTGGTTGTTTGTGCCTGGCTTGTGGCTGCGCGTAAGTTGCTAAGGCCGTTTTTGCCTGGTGGTGGTACCACGATTTTTGGGTTCGCTCTAAAACAAAAAGTAACTCAAGTGTTTATTAGTTTTAGTGGTGCTTTAGTATGTTTAAGTTAGTACCGGTACGATAACTGGGAAATCCAGTTCCGCTTGTGAAATTACTTGCGATTAAGAAAAGTCGAATTGTTCGCAGGTAACTCTGTAGTTCAAGGTTTCATTTTCGTGATAATTTTTGTTGTGAGGTTGGTTTTACAGTTCATGATTATTTCTTGTGGAGATTAGGATCTGAACCAGTTTCTCGGGTTCATTCTTCGGAGATTGCTACTGTCTGATAAATTTTCTTTTTTTTTTGAGGTGCCCGTGTGTTCATCGTTATTATTGTTTTAGTGTGAAGAATGCGGTTTTTCTGCTTTTTACAGATCTGTTAAATAACTGAAGTATTGTTTATAATCTAGTAAAGTGGATTCTCGAGAAGTCGCGTATTCAAGTGTGTACTTACTTTTTTTTAAAGAAAAATTACGCAAAACTTAAAAAAAACATTTAATTTTGGTGTGATTTTTTTACAAATTAGTGACCTTTTATTCGTTTCGTGTGTCAAATTATTATTTTTTTTTAACAATAAAAATTCGGTCAGACGGATCAGCCTTCAGTCTGTATCGGGGAAGCAATTTAAGTATAAATTACATAGCGATTACGTTATGTTATGGTGCTGTAAATAAATCATACGTTATTATTCCATTAACCCCTTGGGAAATACAATTACTCTTAGTACAGTACGATCCGGCTGAAGAATTTGCTATTAATAAACACTTCATACAAAGTGTCACAGTATTTTAGAAATTTTCAACATTTTGGATCGACTGATAACGAAATTTTATGCGTAATTATTGGATTCCTCAGACGCCAAATTCCGTATTCTACACCAGCTGCCACGAATGACGTACATAAGGAGGAAGATTGCGCTATTATTATTTTACTTAAAACAAAAGTTCAAGGCTTGAGTCATTTTACAATTTTCGTGTGTGAATTCTTTTCGTAGTCGAACTGTAATTACGTTTCTCCAAAATAAATCGGATCGATTTATTATTATAACAATATCTCAGCGACATTTATAATTACGAAATAATTGTTATCACGGTTTTGAAAGCACGTGTCGTGGTAAAACCCAGACAAGAAGAGTGGGGGTGTTTTTAAAAGAAATGGGTACGAGAAAGTGTGATAAAATTGTAAGTCAATGTTCTTCTGCTTGGACAAGGTTTTCTTTTTTGTTGATAATTCGTGAACTATTCAGCTGTTTTCTGTTTGTTTACTGTTCCAGTTTCATTCATGTTTAATTTATCTTCAGTTCTTTGAAACCGTTTTTCATTTTTCGTTTTCTAGCCATATGTAAACAGGTGTAACAAATTGAAAAAAAAACATTAATATTTATAAGTACAAAAATAAAATTTTGTATATTGAAATTAACATAAAACGTTTCACACGACGTGTAGTCTTTAAGTTCTTTTTTTTTTGTTTTACCTGCAAAACATTTCCTGAATTTAACTTTTGGTTCATAATTATCTGCTTTTGAGGGGTAAAACACGTAATAAAATTTACATATTCATCGATTTCAAAAAATGTTTGCTGAATTAAGTACTAATAAAGTTTGTAAGTAGGTACTTCAGTGTCAAAATTCATCACTAAAGACGGAATGTCCTTGATAGATTTAAGGATTATTTATTTATTTATCTTCTCTAAAAGTTGTTATTGGGAGTGGAGTGCCTCAGGCTCCATATTCGGTCTTTTACCCTTCATTCTTTACGCGACTGATCTAAATATACCTCGTCTCTTTTTAACTAATTTATTATATATTCAATTCTCGTTTGAAATTATTTATTCCTATTACATCAGAATCTAATTACCATACGTCATTCATCACCAAGAATGTCTACATACACAGCGTAAACGTCAAACCGAACACCATCTCTAACGAATCTCACTCATATTTCCCCTTTGCCATAACCAGAATTCGGGGTCACCCACAATTATCATCACTAATAACTCTCACACAAAAAAGAGGTCGCATCAAACCAGTACCACACCATCATCTACGCACCATCACCGTCATTACCAAACCTGTCTTTCCAACACTCGAACTTATTTTTAGTTAATGCAAACGACAACAACATCGACGTTGTTTTTCCAGAATGGGTGCCCGCAGAGGAGTTCTGCAGGACGCCCGACCGGGAATTGGGCGACTGCATCGTGGTCAGCGACTGCAAGCCCATGATGGACGTGCTGGACGCGGTGTCGCAGCCCATCCCCCCGAAAATCATCCAACTCCTGAAGGCGTACCAGTGCGGGTTTAGCGGCAAGAACCCCAAGGTGTGCTGCCCGTCCAAGCCCATCATCGTGGAGGGGGTGAACACGGCAGAGGCGGCACTGCCGCCGGACGTTTCGAATCACAGGAACCTGGGGCTGATCCCGCGGGAGTGCGGCGACATGGACACCGGGGATAAGATCATTCACGGGAATAAGACGGTGTTGTTCGAGTTTCCGTGGATGGCGCTGCTGTCGTATAGGACCAGTGAGTGTCTTCAGACCCGATGACGTCTTTAAATGCTTATTATTCGACAATCATCGGGTTTTCACCTATTGTTAGAAAATTGGGACACCTCAGTTTTCTCTTTTCCGATTTTCTTTAATCATGTAATTGTTGCAGATCGTGGTCCGGACTTCCGCTGCGGCGCCTCAATAATCAACGAAAGGTACATCCTCACCGCCGCCCACTGCATCACCAACCTGAAGAACCCACTGTAAGTACCACGACCCCCACCAACCCATTTTGTACCTTCGTCGGTTTCCAGAATAGGTGTCCGCGTCGGAGAACACAACATCCAAACCCCAGTCGACTGCGAAGTCTCCAGAGAGGGAGTCCGCACTTGCTCTCCTCCTCACCAGGACCTCGCCATCGAAGACATCATCCCGCACCCGGACTACAACACCAAACTCTACACCAACGACATCGGTTTACTCCGAGTCAGCCAAATGGACTTCTCCCAAGGTACCCCAAATCCAAATTTTGAACCAAACTAAAATTTCAATTCCAGATAACATCAAGCCCATCTGTTTACCTCTAGAAAAAGCCCGGACTTACAACTTCACCAACCGCAACTGCGTGGTCACCGGCTGGGGGGTCACGGAGAAGGGGCGCCCCAGTCCCGAGCTCCTCAAGGTCCAGATTCCCACCATGAGTAACGAGGAGTGCAGCAATATTTACAAGAACGTTACCACTATTAATCACCGGCAGTTGTGCGCTGGGGGCAAAACTAGGAGTGATTCGTGTGCGGGGGACAGTGGAGGCCCGCTCCAAGCACCGGCTAACATTTTCCGCAACGTTCGCTTGGTCCAGCAGGGGGTAGTGTCCTTCGGACCTAGGGACTGCGGGAGGGAGGGGCTGCCGGGGGTGTACACGAGGGTGGCGTATTACATGGACTGGATTTTGGACAATATGAGGGCGTGAGAGGTGAAGACTGTACTTACAATGACTAGACTGCCGATAGATGACGCGATTTTGCTAAGTGAAGATGGAAAATAATTTAAGTTAGGTTATGTTGTGCTTATTTATATGTGTTTTGTACACCGAGAAATAGATTTTTTTATTAATGGGTGTGTTTTTTTGTAATAATGTCGGGATGGATAATAATAGTTAATTATCAAAATATGATTGCCGGTTACGTTGCTAATTTCAGTGATTAATAATAAATAAGTACCCAGTTTTTTATAATTTCGTTAACAATAATAGAGGGTTTTTTGAATTTTTAAAACTGACTTTATAGTTTTTTCAAAACGAATATAAGGATTGATTTAAGCACTTAAAACTACCCAATTTTTGGTTCTTTATTGTACATATAAAATTATTAAATTTGTGATATAAAATCCCGGGGTCATGGTGACTCGGTTTCATGGTCAAACAATGATAATAAGCATCCACAAAAAACGAATGTTCCAGCGATCGTCAAACGTTACGCACTTCTGAATATATACGTTGTTCTGTGACAAAATGGATAATATTAAAATAGTCTTTAAAACTAATAAAAATCATTATGAAGATATTGGAATATAAAACTTGTAAAAAATTTTAGTGATGAAAGGTACAAAGGAGAGTGAATATGCAGAAAAATTCTGGTTAAATTCTGCCCTTGAAGTCGTTTTTAAACTGTGTAAATCTTGAGAAATGGATTTACATAAACTAGAAACAATAGATGTTATGCAACCAGTTATACACCGAGATTGTCAAAACAGCACTGGTATATTTTTTCAAAAATCTGCATGCCTCGGGTAAAAACTCAACACGGATTCATAAATCACCATGAAGGAGTATGTTATTTTATAAATATTTTTTATTTATTCGGCAAAATTTTAAGATGACGCCATCATTTTTTGGGGAGGCATAAACGAATAGTAAATTATGATTAACTACTAATCATACTTCTAATAATATTTAATCTTGATAACTAAAACTAGTATGTTAGGTAACTCCACTTATCTTGGTGTTTGCTTTCCATTTACTTCATAAACCCACCTATACTTCTCTAAATTCTAATGAATCTTCCCACTTGGAAGATTTTCTTGCAGGAATCCCCATGTTGAGACCTTGTAACCTTGTTAACGGTTTCTAGTAAGGTGGGGCAAAATGGCGAGGTAATTCCCAGTAGAGTAACGACCTGTGACGCATAATTACCTCCTTTAAAGCTATAGAACACACCCTCCATATCAGACTGATGACCACCAAAAAGAGCTGTTTCTCTTATTGTGCATACACACCATGCACTGTGTGGGGATTTAAGAACTTTTCCACTTAACAAAGCGCTAGTACGTCTCTGTTCACCCAGATAGACTAATTCGAAGTCATTATTGTGACACATTTTAAAACTCGTTAAATATCTAAACCCAAACTCAGGATTATCGCTTTCATTAAATATTACTTAAATGGAAGATTAGTCCGAAGAGAGTTAGTTTCACGTGGACTTTTTCAATGTCGTGGCTTCTTCTTCTGTACTTTTTTGCTCCAGTGCGGGCACGTAAGTAAACAAATACCTAATAATCGGGTTATTGTTAACACAATTAGCACCTCGCTTCTAACTTTTAAATAAACTCGTCCAATCTAGAATGGGACGTTATTTGGAACCCTCCCAACACCAACGGTTGCACAACTCCCGACCAAAAACCGGGATCGTGTCTGCAAATATACAACTGTCAACCGATGCTGGATTTTCTGGATAAAGTACGTCAACCGATTCCGCCTGAAACCGAAAAACACCTGAAATCGTACCGGTGTGGAACTGATAGAGGAAAACCAAAAATCTGCTGCCCTTCAGGTCTTATAATTATAGACAACGAAAAATTGGAAGACAGTATTGTATTCCCCGACGTTTCGACCCACAGGAATTTTCGCCTTCTACCAAAGAACTGCGGGCACTTCGACGCCGATAACAAAATCGTCAATGGAGAAAAAACTGGACTTTTTGAGTTCCCGTGGATGGCGCTGTTATCATATCGGACTCGTTTGTAAATTTGGTTTCTATTTTGACTATTACCGAGTGTGACTTTTAGGAAATGGGCCACAATTTAAGTGTGGAGGCACTATTATCAACCAAAAGTATATTCTAACAGCGGCTCATTGCTTAGCAAACTTGAAGACCCCACTGTGAGTACCACAACACCGCTATTATTACTATTATTATTATTATTAAATTGTTGAAACAGAATTGGAGTCCGAGTTGGAGAACACAACATTCGTACTCAGAAGGACTGCGAGTTTGACAAATGGAACGGGGAAATTTGCGCACCCCCGTACCAAGATCTGGGGGTTGAAGCCGTTATCACGCACCCGGAGTTCAGTTCCAGGTACTTGAGCAACGACATCGGGCTTATACGGGTGTCACCCATCGACTTGTCGCAAGGTTCGTACAAGTATTCCTGTTGTTCGTGTACCAATCAAGATTTTTTTAGAAAACAGCAGACCCGTGTGCCTTCCCCTAGCCGAGTCCAGGGATTACAACTTCACCAACCGCAACGTCTTCGTCGCCGGGTGGGGGATAACCGAAAGAGGAACCCCGAGTCCCGAGCTCCTGAAGGTCGCTCTTCCCGTTGTTCCCTTGAAGGAATGCGAAGACGCGTACGCGAAAACCGCTAGAGTGGATAATCGGCAGCTGTGTGCTGGTGGAAGGAATAAGAAGGATTCGTGTGGAGGCGACAGCGGGGGTCCTCTTCATGCCCAGGGACGCATAAATGGGGACACCAGGCTCGTCCAACAGGGAATAGTTTCGTTTGGACCCATAAGGTGCGGAGAGGTTCCGATTCCGGGGGTGTACACCAGGGTAGCGGCTTTTATGGACTGGATTTTGGATAATATAGAACCGTGATTGACTATTATGATTTTGTTTTGTACTGACACTATTTATTTTTTATTAAATTTTAAAAAGTGGCCTGTGAGTTTTTTAAATCAAATCCTCTTGAAATTAAATTACGAAAGAGATCGTTATGTTGTTGGAAAACTTGGAAAAAATTAATCACTAATGACTTCTAGACTTAGAACAATTACCTGGATATACGTGGGATATTGATAATGCTTCAGACAAAACACAGCGCTTGATAAAACCACACAATCCGACCCTGGGCTCTCACTGATAATTTTTCGCTTAAAAAACTATTAAACGTTAATATTCCAAGAAACACAAAACTCTTTAAAAACAACTTACTACATTTCTTGAATTTAGTAACACACAGGACTCAACAATGTTGACCACGTTGCTACTTTTACTCTTTGTTTGCACAGCTCACGCACGTAAGTACCTACTCCACTAGTACTCCTCTAGTTTGTTAAAATTTTAGAATCCAATGGCTGTCAAACCCCAGACAAACAACCAGGTTTCTGCATAGTGGTTCAATCATGCAAAACCTTGTCTGACTTTGTTTCCAAACTTCCAAAACCCTTCTCACCAGCGATCCGCGAAAAAATAAAAGCGTACCAATGTGGTGTGTCCGGAAACAAAGCCAAAGTATGTTGTCCATTAAAACCCATCATTGATCAGTCTGGAGGAGGTTCCGAGGGCTTCCAATTCCCTGACGTCTCCAACCACAGGAACATCAATCTCTTACCGAAGAGCTGTGGTCATTTGGACACCTTCGTCAACAAGGTAGTGAATGGTAACGAAACGGTTTTGTTTGAGTTCCCATGGATGGCACTTTTGTCGTACCAGACCAGTACGCACTGACATTGTTGTGAAACCGAGTTTATAAATTGTGTGTTGTAGAAAGGGGACCAGATTTTCGCTGTGGTGGTAGCATCATCAACGAAAACTACATACTCACGGCAGCCCACTGCGTCGTCAATGTCGAAAGAGCGGGACTCAAACTGTAAGTACCCCACTTTAAAATTACACTTTATCAATTTTGAAACCAGAATTGGAGTCCGTGTTGGAGAGTACGACCTTCGTACTACGACAGACTGCCAAACGGATAACGGAGAAGAAATATGTTCTCCTCCGGTGCAAGACCTAGCAATTGAAAAAGTTATCCCTCATGCGAGATTCGACAGCAAGTCCATCCTCAACGATATAGCACTCATTCGAGTTTCCAAAATCGATCTAGAGCAAGGTACCAAATCCACTATTTCGAGTACCATTTAACCCCCTGTTTTAGAAAACACACAACCTGTGTGTCTGCCCCTGGGTAACACCGGTAACTTCAATTACACCAACAGAAGAGTGGTTGTGACTGGCTGGGGGAAGACCGAAAAAGGTGCAGCAAGTCCTGTTCTCCTTAAGGCAGAACTTGAAGTTTCTCCTCGAAAAGAATGCCAAGAAAAACACACTCGTAACAAGATACAGGACACCCAGCTGTGTGCTGGTGGGCAAGGGGGCCCGAAGGCCGCCGATTCGTGTAACGGGGATAGCGGAAGCCCTTTGCACTCCTTGGAGTTCCTTCACGAGGAGCCTAGATACATCCAGCAGGGAATAGTTTCCTTCGGGCCGAGCGACTGCGGAAAAGTAGACATTCCGGGGGTCTATACCAGAGTGGCTTCCTATCTGGACTGGATCCTGGACCAGCTACAACCGTGATCTTTCATTATTTGTATTACTCTTGACAAATACTCGTAAATAAACTCTGAATGCTAATGTTTTGTTACGTGAGTACCACAATCAGTCAAATTGGAGAGCACAACATTCGAACCCATAAAAACTGTGAGATTGATAAATGGGCTTATACCAGTAAAATTAGTTGATAAAACTACACAATCCGCTACTGGTCTCCAATTGACAATAATTTATAGTTCAAAAAGCACTTAAAAATCTATTAATAAAAACAATCATCATTAAAAACAACTAACCAGATTCCTTCAATTTAGTAACACACGGCTCCCAACAATGTTAACCACGTTACTACTTTTACCCTTTCTTTACACAGCTCACGCACGTAAGTACCTACTCCACTAGTACTCCCCTATTTGTTAAAATTTCAGAATCGAATGGGTGTCAAACCCCAGACAAACAACCCGGTTTCTGCATAATGGTTCAATTTTGCAAAACCATGTCCGACTTCGTGGCCAAATTTCCAAAACACCTCCCACCAGAGATCCGCGAAAAAATAAGACCGTACCAATGTGGAGTGTCCGGAAATAAAGCCAAAGTATGTTGTCCGTTAACACCCATCACTATTGATCAATCTGGAGATTTCGAGACCTTCCAATTCCCTGAGGTGTCCAACCACAAGAACATCAATCTGTTGCCAAGGAACTGTGGACAATTGGGCATCGGTAATAAGATAGCGAATGGGGACGAAACGGATTTGTTTGAGTTCCCATGGATGGCACTTTTATCGTACCAGACCGGTACGCACTAACACTGTTGTGAAACAGAGTTTATAAATTGTGTGTTGTAGACAAGGGACCAGATTTTCGTTGTGGTGGTACCATCATCAACGAAAACTACATACTCACGGCAGCCCACTGCGTCGTCAACGTCGAAACAGCGGGACTCAATTTGTAAGTACCCCACTTTAAAGTACCACTTTATCAATTTTGAAACCAGAATTGGAGTCCGTGTTGGGGAGTACGATCTTCGTACTACGAAAGACTGCCAAACGGAAAACGGAGAAGAAACTTGTTCTCCTCCGGTGCAAGACCTAGCAATTGAAAAAGTCATCATCCATTCGAGATTCGACAGCAAAACCGTCCTCAACGATATAGCCCTCATTCGGGTATCCAAAATCGATCTAGACCAAGGTATCAAATCCACTATTTCGGGTACCATTTAACCCTCTGTTTTAGACAACAGCAGACCTGTGTGTCTGCCTCTGGGTAACACCGGTAACTTCAACTACACCAACAGAAGGGTGGTTGTGACTGGCTGGGGGAAGACCGAAAAAGGTGCAGCAAGTCCTGTTCTCCTTAAGGCAAAACTTGAAGTTTCTCCTCGGAAAGATTGTCAAGAAAAACACACTCGTAACAAGATACAGGAAACCCAGCTGTGTGCTGGTCGGCAAGGGGGCCCGAAGGGCGTCGACTCGTGTAAAGGGGATAGCGGAGGCCCTTTGCATTCCTTGGAGTTCCTTCACGACGAGCCTAGATACATCCAGCAGGGAATAGTTTCCTTTGGGCCGAGCGACTGCGGAAAAGTAGCCCTTCCGGGGGTCTATACCAGAGTGGCCTTCTATCTTGACTGGATCCTGGACCAGCTCCAACCGTGATCTTTAATTACTTGTGTTACTTTTGACAAATATTCATGAATAAACTCTGAATGCTAATGTTTTATCTATTCGCTGACCTGACCTGACTCCACTGTGAGTACCTCAACCAGTCAATTTGGAGAGCACAACATTCGAACCCAGAAAAACTGGGAGATTGATAAATGGTACGGGAAACTTCCGCATCACTGTACAAAGAAGCGTGGGCTAGAATAAAGTTCCAAGTAGGGGAAAAGTGCCTAAAATGATCCCCTCAGGTCAAATGATCCCCATCAATTGTAAGAAAATTTGTGGCTCCATCTACCAAACATAACTGTCATTTGATTAAGCGCTCTGTAATTAGTACCTTCTGAAAGTTTGATGGCGTTCTGTGTATTCTGCACAGTTTTGTGCCAAAATATGTAAAATAAGCACCTCTGATCTAAGGTAAGATATATTTTAAAAGTCCATTTTGACAGAATTAGATACATTTCAGTCGTAGGTTGGTTATGATCTTTTTACCGCATGTAAAAATTGAAGGTTAGTTTACAATTTTTGAATGCGGATATGCTATCTAAGGCGAAATGATCCCTTTTTCTTGAGGCAAAATCATCCCGGATCATTGGGCGGGACTAGTACCTGCTAAGATAAGACTGATTTTTGCAAATCATATACCCTCTAAAAAAAGAGAGGGTGGGTGGGCGGGGCTAGTACCTGCTAAGATAAGACTGATTTTTGCAGATAACATATCCTCTAACCCCGCCCACCTACTCTTTATTTTCTTTGAGGGAATACCATTTGCCAATATCAGTTTTATCTTAGCAAGTACTAACCCCACCCACCCGCCCGTTATTTTCTTAGCATGTATGTTATTTGCCAATATCAGCCTTATCTTGCCAAGCACTAGCTCGGCCCATCCGCCCTTTATCTTGTTAGAGGGCTAGTACCTAATAAGATAAGACTGATTTTCGCAAATGACATATCCTCCAAGAAAAGAGAGGGTGGGTGGGCGGGGCTACTACCTGCTAAGATAAGACTGATTTTTGCAGATGACATATCCTCTAACCCCGCCCACCCACCCTTTAGTTTCTTCGAGAGAATACCATTTGCCAATACCAGTTTTATCTTAGCAGTTACTAGTCCCACCCACCCACCCTCTCTTTGCTTAGAGGGTATATCATTTGCCAAATTCAGTCTTATCCTAGCAGTTACTAGCCCCACCCACCCACCCTCTCTTTTCTTAGAGGGTATATCATTTGCCAACTTCAGTTTTATCTTAGCAGGTAGTAGACCCGCCCACCCGCCCTCTCTTTTCTTGGAGGGTATCCCATTTGGCAAAATTAGTCTTATCTTAGCACGTACTGATGACTAAAGTATTGTCCCAAACACTTCCAGAAATTATACACCCCTTATTTTCGGTGCTTTTCAAACTTTTTTTGTTTATTTTTTTTAAGAATTTATTTTTTTGTTAATTTTTGAAATAAAATATTTATCAGTTATGTCATGATTTGATTTTTCTTGTTGATGCTGTCCCCTTATGGTCAAAATTCAAAGGGATCATTATGCCCATGCCGAGGGATCATTTTACCTATGGGGATGCATAAAATGATCCTTTTGTAAGGTCCTGGAAAAACGTTAATAACTTTTTTTATAATTATCGAATCACCAATTGGCTTATATTGTTACCTAGATAAATCAATGTTCTTACAAATAATGCTACAGTTTTACATGAATAATAATAATTTGTATTTTTTAAAGAATTTCTCCCTTAGGGGGATCATTTTAGGCACCTTTCCCCTAGTTATTAAACCAACGTTGTTGGGCTTATACGAGTGGAATTACTTGATAAAACTACACAATCCGTCTCTGGTCTCCAGTTGATAATAATTTTTCCAAAAACACTTAAAAATCTATTAAGAAAACCAAAAATCTTTAAAAGCAGCTAACCAGATTCCTTGAATTTAGTAACACACGGTACCTAACAATGTGGACAACGTTGCTACTTTTACCCTTTCTTTACACAGCTCACGCACGTAAGTACCTAATCCACTAGAACTTCCCTAATTAGTTAAAATTTCAGAATCGAATGGGTGTCAAACCCCAGACAAACAACCAGGGTTCTGCATAGTGATTCAATCATGCAAAACCTTGACTGACTTCGTGGACAAACTGTCAAATCCCGTCCCACCAGAGATTCTTCAAAAACTAAGAGAGTACAAATGTGGAGGATCCGGAAATAACACCAAAGTATGTTGTCCGTTAAAACCCATCACTATTGATCAATCTGGAGGAGATTCCGAGACCTTCCAATTCCCCGACCTCTCCAACCACAGGAACATTAATCTGTTGCCGAGGAACTGTGGGTTTTTGGGCAAAGGCAATAAGATAACGAATGGGTACGAAGCGGATTTGTTTGAGTTTCCATGGATGGCACTTTTATCGTACCAGACCAGTACGCACTGACACTGTTGTGAAACATAGTTTATAAATCGTGTGTTGTAGAAAACGGACCAAAGTTTCGCTGCGGTGGTACCATCATCAACGAAAACTACATACTCACGGCAGCCCACTGCGTCGTCAATATCGAAAAATCGGGACTCAAACTGTAAGTACCCCCCTATAAAGTACCACTTAATCAATTTTCAAACCAGAATTGGAGTCCGTGTTGGTGAGCACGACCTTCGTACTACGAAAGACTGTCGAACAGAATACGGAAGAGAAACTTGTTCTCCTCCAGTCCAAGACCTAGCAATTGAAAAAGTCATCCCCCACCGGAGATTCGACAGCAGGACCGTCCGCAATGATATAGCCCTCATTCGAGTTTCCAAAATCGATCTAGACCAAGGTACCAAAGCCACTGTTTCGAGTACCATTTAACTCCCTGTTTTAGTAAACACCAAACCTGTGTGTCTGCCCCTGGAAAACACCGGTAACTTCAATTACACCATCAAAAAGGTGACTGTGACTGGTTGGGGCAAGACCGAAAGACGTGTACCAAGTCCTGTTCTTCTTAAGGCAAAACTTGAAGTTTCTCCTCGAAAAGAATGCCAAGAAAAATACAAACGTTACCAAATACAGGAAACCCAGCTGTGTGTTGGTGGGCAAGGGGGCCCGAATGCCGCCGACTCGTGTAACGGCGATAGCGGGGGCCCTTTGCACTCCGTGGAGGATCTTCACGAAGCGCCTAGATACATCCAACAGGGAATAGTTTCCTTCGGGCCGGTCGACTGCGGAAAAGTTGCCATTCCGGGGGTCTACACCAGAGTGGCCTTCTACCTGGACTGGATCCTGGACCAACTCAAACCTTAACAAATACTGGAAAATAAACTCTAATTCCTAATGTCTGATTACTTGAGGACCCCTGCTTTACCCATTTTCCGGCAAATCGTTTCAAACAAGTTTGGTTTTTGGCGGGAGGGTTGCCTTATCGTGTCACGAGAACCGGTCGTGTGTCGAGTCTTCGGGTCAGGGTCACATCAAGTTCACTCCAATCATGAAAATCGATTAAAAGAACCTTCTCGTTTGGCTGTGTTGACCTTTTGAAACCCGACGAAATCGTGGAGATTTCCCCAGTGTTTACATAGTGAGTACTTCTCGGAAGGCGAGTCCGTGCGCAGGCGTGACTTAACACTGACATTGCTGCAGGTAAGTCTCATTTGTGTTGTTTGTTGACGAAATCGTTTAAATGGCTCTCGGATGGATTTTTCTTATCATTATCGTGGACTTTGTTTGTGAGTATGTTTACTAATTGTTGTTTGATGGGTGTGCTGGGGGCCGGGGAAATTTTCAAGTGTCGTAAAAAATACGCAGGGGAAAGAAGAGTGGGAATGGGCGACCACAATCAAATTTTCTGCATTAAACCAACGATGGATTTGTGATTATTCAAACACCTTTCTTTGGTTTGTAGTGGCCTTGAACATCACTAATAACGCAGTTATTAGACACAAATGGGTGTTATTCTCAGGCGAGTTCACGGAAATGGTTGTTTTGAGTTGGAAATTACCAACACCACTTGTTGGAAGTTTAATTGTTATATAATTTAAACAGTCGTGACTCACTTGGTCTCTTGCAAGTACCGTTTTTGACACCGTGACACGGAGAAAGTGTGCCGCAAGGACTTACCACAGTACCGTTCTTGTTATTGTAGGACCCATGGACAAAGAAACGAAAAAAACTTTCTTTAGCCGCGACATTCCATCCCAATTTACGTCACCGAATATCAAAAACAAACACGATAATTTTTTTTGACTGTATAATAATCTTTGTGTAAGCAAATACGTCACAAATTTTCCACGAAAACATGTACGCACACCCATAATCGTAAATTTTTCTTAGTCTGGGTTCCCTATATTAGTTAAAAAAACTCTGACTAGCTCTCTTCCGTTGCAGCTCTCGCCGCCCCCCAGCGCAACGAAACCTCCATAAAATGCCCCCGCAAGCACGACTGCGTGCCGCTCACCTCCTGCAACATCACCGACGCCGACGCCTTCATCTACCCCTGTCACAGTGGGCTCAACTTCATCTGCTGCCCCTGGGGCTTGTACACCAACACCACCCTCGAGAACCGCAAGACGTCGCAATTCCCGGTGACTTGCGGGCTTGTCATGACCGCTGACAAGATCAGCGGTGGTAAGAAGGCGGACTTGGGGCAGTTCCCGTGGATGGCCCTACTGGGCTACAGACGTAAGCGCCGCACCATGTTCAACTCGTGTTAATCCGTCTGTTGCAGAATCGGGCCTCGACTACACGCAGTTCTTGTGTGGGGGCAGCCTCGTCACGGAAACCTACGTGATGACGGCGGCGCACTGCATCCACCTGGATCGAAGACTAGAACTGTAGGTAATGAGAGGAAGCAGGGAGAGGGAGCAGGAGTAATCGTTGGGTTGTAGGATTGTGGTGAGGTTAGGAGAGCACGATTTGTTGAAGGAGAAGGATTGTTATACGGTGAGGGACTACGAGATGTGCGCGGAACCCCATGTGGATGTTTTGATACAAAGAGTGGAGATTCATCCGAGGTACGACGAGGAGAACTTGCACAATGATATTGCTCTGATTAGGGTGAAAAGAAGAATTCAGTTTACAAGTAGGTATCGAGGTTCTAGAGAGGTTTGGATGATGAATGAACTCTTTTAGATTATATACAGCCGATTTGTCTACCTTTTGAGAGGAATTTGGAAGCGAAAGATCTGACCAAACAAAAACTGACAGTGAGTGGGTGGGGTAAAACCAGTGCGGTGAACGTGGGGGGTTCTACTACCCTTCAGTACGCGTTGGTGACGGTTTGGAACCAAAGCACGTGTGCTAAAAGTGTCCCTCCGGACGTACAACCCATCACGGGTACCCAACTTTGTGCCAATGGACCGTCCGCAGAAGACGCCTGTAAAGGTGACAGCGGAGGACCTCTAGTTAACGCAACCCTGGATGGCAGAGGCGATTTACGCTACTTCCAAATCGGGATAGTCTCTTTCGCTTCCACTCTGACCTGTGGAAACCCGAGCCTCCCCACTGTGTACACACGAGTAGACAAATATCTACAGTGGCTAGAAGAAACAATTTTTTAAGACTGATTGTTATTTCTTTATTTTTTTTTAATATATTGTGTTGGGTTTAATTAGTATCTTCACTACTCAGACTTTCATCCTTCTCCTTTTCTTCCTGTATGCTTTCTTTCGAGTTTAAAGAGTCTTGTTCCAGAAGAGCCTGAATGGCTGCATCCTTCAACTCCGGTAAAGAACGAACGTCGGATAAGTCGCTAACGCTTCTCTTCTGATTCCTTCTAGACTTATACTCGGTGTACAACGTATCCAGAAGCTCATCTCTAGTTTTGGGATACTTCACCTAGAAGACATCGTCAGTTCTGGAAACCGCAACTAATAACCTACTTGAGACTGGCGTTCAAAAAGAGTAGGTTGTCGATTTACTCTACCCAACATTAGCTGCATCCTCAGCCTGTGTTCTTCGCTACGCAACTTCTCTTCATCTCTTCGCAGTTGCAACCTCATGGCTAAATCTTCCTCGTGACTGTAAGCCAAAGACTGCCACACCGGTTTCTTCCGCATCAGTTTTTCCCTCCAACGAGCCTCCTCCTTCAATTTTGCCTCCTCCAGCTTCTTGCACATCTCCATCTCCAGTCTCTTACGGGCGGACTGCACTCGTAAAAGAGCCGCCAAGTTCGAGCGGTTAAGAGACTGAAATTCCAAAGACGAAGGTGTCCTACTATCGGTGCTACTAGCTGAAGCATTCCTGTAGTTCTTCTTCTTCTACAAACACGACAGCGTGAAAATCAGTTTGACTATTGTAATCTTACCTGTTTCTTCTCGTGTCTTCTACTCTTAGACTTTGGTTGCGGACTGAGCCCCAGAAACTCGTTCTTCAACTCCTCTAGTTCTTTCTCGTAGCGGTCGTGCTCAAACTTGTACGAATTCTTAGTTTTCTTCGGTTTATTATCAGCAACATCTCGGTACGAACGCGGACAAACATCGTACTTTTTCGTGGTTCGTTCTCTTTTCGCCATAGATGGTGGTAAAGAAGCAGCACGAAGCATTTCTTCAGCACGAATCTTCTTCTGAAGAGCCCTGGAAACAATCGCTTGGTTGCAATTCTAACCAGAAGACAACAAACCTGTAGAACTCATCTTCGTGCATCTTCTTATAAATGTAGTTACTGAACAAATTCTTCGGTATCGGTTTTGCTTTGAATTTTTGCACTTTAATCGGAGGGTCATCTAGGAAGAGACTAGGGGACGATTTAGACAATCCCTTGCTTAGTTTCTGGATTTCTTGGATTTCTTCGTCGCGTCTGGTGAAAGAAAAAGGGCGCATTTGAGCTTGTAGAAGGGCTTTGCTGCGTTCGCGCACTATACGATTCCTAGAAGCAGAATATAACCACACGAAACGACCATCAAGGGCTTACTTTATCTCCTGCTCTTCCATGATTCTGTCGAAGAGAGGAATCTGCGACTCTATCGGAACCGGATGGGCTTTGAACATCTCCGGTTTCTGGATTTTGGGTTTATTTTGTGCCACCACTTCATCTATTATCTTGTTTTCTTCATCCTTCACCGTCATTTCGAACGGTTTTGGAATGGTTATCCCGTTGTCTTTCCAACCCACGCTGGGTTTGCTTTTGGTTGGGCTGTTAGGGGCGCTTTTTGACTGCACAGGCGACTGCTCCTCTAGATCTAGCTTATACTCGTCGATACTAAAATTGTCCCAGTCGTCTTGACCTTTCGAACTAGCCGAAGGTAGTCTGGATTTGGCTCTTCTAAACAACTCAGACGGCGTATCTCCTGGTGATAACTTATCACTCGGGGTTTCGATTCGCACCGATCTTCGCGATGGTGGCTTTAGAGAAAGATCACCCGAAAGCGACTCGCCATCTTTGGGACTTTTGCTCAGAATCGGGGTCACGCAGAACGGTTTCAATGTTTTCTTTTTCTCATCTACGAACTTCTTCTTCGCGTAGTCTTTGTATTCTTCCAGCCATTCGGGGTTTTTGTCTGTGTATTTCGTTTCGTGTTGGACGTAGTCGCTGTAGGTTTTTTGCTTCTCTTTCAGGAGTTCTATGCGCTTGTAGAACTCTTTGTTCGAGAGGTGGTTTAAGTCGTCGTACTCTGGGATACTATCGTAGAATTCTAGATACGATTTCACTGGATCTTTGTCTTTGGAAGATGTAGATTTCATGTCGATTTCATTCGACGATTCTAGAGTCAGTTTGGTGGCTTCGTTTTGCAATTGGTTTAAGTATTTTTGTTCGTAGACGGCCAGAGGGTGGTTGCTTTTGGGGTTTCGGGGCAGTTTTAAACAGTTGTTGTTAAACACGGAACCGCTGTGATCGGACATCGCACCTTTAATTGTTACCCGAAGGTAAAAGGGGTGTTTATTCCTATGGAAACGATATCGATTGTTAAATTTCATTAAAATATTCAACGAGGGATCAATATTTTAACCCATTTTAAAGGGGTGACTTGTGTAGTGGTTTTGTAGCTAATAAAATATCAGAAGGTGGTTTTCTTTCGAAAAAATATTAAAAAAGTCGCGATTGAGGAAAAAATACAATCAAATTTTCATTTTTACATGTTGGCAGTAACAGAGAACATAGAGAAGCGTCATAGTTTAAATTAAATGACGGGTGAGGACTCCTCGACTTATGTTGGCAACAGTGTTTGTTTCTAACTAGGAATAAAAACTCAGATTGTCGAAATTTTAGTTTGGGGACTTTTCAGTTTACTCTTATTTACTATTCAATTTTTGGATTTTACAATTTCTCAATTTTTAAATTTCTTGATTTTCAGGTTTTTTCTTCAATTTTACGATTTTTAAATATTTCGATTTTTCAATGTTTGACTTTTATAAACTCTTTATTTGTCGATTTTTCAATGAATTGATTTTTCAGGTTTTTTGGTTTTTCAGTTTTTCTATTTTTTCAGGTTTAGATTTTTCAACTTAATTTTTTTGATTTTTCGATTTCTCAATTTTTTAATTCTTTCATTTTTCCGTTTTTCGATATTTCAGTTTTGGGATTTTTCAATATTTCTGTTCTTCGATTTTTCCATTTTTGACTTCTGGATTTTTCGATTTGTCGACTTTTTACTTTTTCGATTTTTAAATTTTAGATTTCTCAGTTTTTTGGTATTTTAATTTTTCGATTTCTCGATTTTTCATTTCAGCTCTTCCATATTTCAATTTTTCAAATGTTTCGATTTCTTAATCTTTCGATTTTTCGATTTTTAAATTTTAAGTTGTTCAGTTTTTGATATTTTAATTTTTCAATACTTTTAGATTTTTCGAATTCTCGATTTTTCATTTCAGTTCTTCGATATTTCAGTTTTTCAAGTTTTCGAATTTTTCAAATGTTTTGATTTCTTAATTTATCGATTTTTCGACTTCCCTGTTTTAGATTTTCTGTTTTTCAACTGCCGTTTTTTAAAATTTTCGATTTTTCAAATTTGACATTTATAAACTGTCAATTTTTCGATTTTTCAATTAATCGATGTTTTGATTTTTCTTGACTTTCAAGGGTTTTGATGGTCCCGTTCTTCAATTCTTTAATTTTTAGATTTTTCAGGTTTTTGATTTTTCATTTTTCAGTTTTTTTAAGGTTTAGATTTTTCGACTTTCCTTTTTGGATTTTTCGATTGCTTAATTTTTCGACTTTTAAGGTCTCAGTTTTTGTATATTTCAGTTTTCAGATTTTTCAGTTTTTTTTTCATTTTTCAGTTTTTCGATATTTTCAGTTTTGGGATTTTTCCATATTTCGATTCTTCGACTTTTCGATTTTTGGCTTCTGGAGTTTTCGATGTGTCGATTTTTTTACTTTTTCGATTTTTCAATTTTTCGGATGCTTAATCTTTCGATTTTTCGACTTCCCGGTTTTAGATTTTCTGTTTTTAATTGTGATTTTAAATTTTCCGATTTTTCGATGTTTTGATTTCCCGATTTAGTTTCCCATTTTTAGTTTTTTTTCATTTTTAAGTTTTTCGATATTTCAGTTTTGGGATTTTTCAATATTTCGATTCTTCGACTTTTCGATTTTTGACTCCTGGATTTTTCGATGTGTCGATTTTTTTACTTCTTCGATTTTTCAATTTTTCGATTTTTAAATTTCAGCTTTTTTAACTTTGAAAATTTTAAATTCATTTCTCGTTTTTTCATTTTAGTTCTTCGATATTTCAGTTTTCAAGTTTTCGAATTTTTCAAATGTTTTGATTTCTTATTCTATCGATTTTTTTTTACTTTTTCGATTTTTCAATTTTTCGGATGCTTAATCTTCCGATTTTTCGACTTCCCTGTTTTAGATTTTCTGTTTTTCAATTGCCGTTTTTTCAAATTTTGGATTTTCATTTTTTCAAATTTGACATTTTGACTGTCAATTTTTCGATTTTTCAATTAATCGATATTTTAATCTTCCCATTTCTTGACTTTCGAGGTTTCGATTTTCCTGTTCTTCAATTCTTTAATTTTTCGATTTTTCAGGTTTTTGATTTTTCATTTTTAGTTTTTTTAAGGTTTCGATTTTACGACTTCACTTTTTGGATTTTTCAACTTTTTGGGTTCTCAGTTTTTGCATATTTCAGTTTTACTTTTTCGATTTTTAAATTTTATCGACAAATTGAGAAATCGAAAAGTCGAGAACTGGAAGTCGGAAAATAGAAAATTAGAAAAATTGAAAAATGGAAAAACGATAACACGAAAATTCAAAACATTTAATTGAAAAACTGAAAAATCGAACCACCGAAAAGAAAAAAATTGACAAATGGAATAATAAAAAAGTCGATTAATTGAGAAATTAGAAAATCGTAAAAATGAACATTTAGCAACGTCATAAACCAAAAAATTGAAAAATCGAGAAATGCAAAAATCCAAAAATTTGAAAAATTTTAAAAGTAGAAAAACCGGATCGTCAAGAAATTAAAACATTAAAAAATTGTAAAAACGAAAAATTGAAACACCAAAAAACTGAAAAATCAAAAATTTAAAAATCCGCTACATTGAAAAATATATCGGAGAACTGAAAAATCGACAAATCGATAAATCCAAATGTCTAAAATTAAAAATTGAAACATCAAAAAAATGGAAAATCGAATAACCGAATAGCCGAAAAGTAGAAAAATCGAAAATTTGAGAAATCGGAATAGGTCAAAACTGAAAAAATAGAAAAATTGAAGAATCGAAAAATCAAGAAATTGATCAATTAAAACACTGAAACACCGAAAAATTTGTTTTAAAAATCGAAAAATTGAAACATCTAGAACCAAGAAGTTGAAATTTCGAAAGATCAAGAAACTGAAACAAAATCTAAAATTTAATGTTCGAAAAATTGAAAAACAGAGAAATCAAAGAGCTGAAAAATCGAAAAATAGAGAAACCGAAAAATGCAATGTCTTCATAATTGAAAAATTAAAATTTGGAAAAACTGAAAGTTGAAAAATTTAAAATTTTAAAATCCAAAAACTAAAAAAACGAAAAAATAAAAACCGAGAAATCGAAAAGTCGAAAAATCGAAAAACTGAAGAATCGAAATATTGCAAAATGCCGAAACTAAAACACAGAAAAATTGAGAAATCGAAACGTCTTAAAGTGGAAGCCGAATAATCATAATGGAAAATTTGAAAAATCGAAAATGGAAAAACGAAAACCCGGAAATTCAAAAACTTGAATTAAAACACTGAAAAGTCAAAAAATTTAGAAATGGGAAATTCAAAAAATCGATTCGATTTTTGACTCCTGGATTTTTCGATGTGTCGATTTTTTTATTGTTTCGATTTTTAAATTTTAGATTTTCTAATTCTTAAAATTTCAGATTTTTCGATTTCTCCATTTTTCATTTCAGAATTTTTCAAACTTTTATAAACTCTTAATTTTTCGATTTTTCAATTAATCGATGTTTTGATTTTCACATTTCTTGACCTTCGAGTGTTTCAATTTTTCGATTTTTTAAGGTTTCTATTTTTCAACTTCACTTTTTTTATTTATTTTTCGATTTTTCGGCCTTTCTATTTTTGACTTCTGGATTTTGCGATACTATCTTTTTACTTTTTCGATTTTTCAATTGTTGGATATTTAAATTTTAGATTTTTCGATTTATGTTTAATTTTTCAATATTTCTTAACCTTTCGATTTTTCGACTTCCTGGTTTTAGATATTCTGTTTTTCAACTTTTCGATTTGTTAATTTTTCATTCCCGATTTATCGAGATTTGATTATTCATGTTTTCGATTTATCATTTTTTCAATTTTTTATGTTGGCCTGTTTTGGTTTCTCAGTTTTTCCAGTTTTCCATTTTTTCGTTTTTTGATTTTTCCGCTTTTTCAATTTTTCAACTTTTAACTTTTTGTTTATCGATTTATCTTTTCTCAATTTATAATTTGTTCAATTTTTACGATTTCTTGATCTTTTGATTTTTCGATTTTTCAGTTATCCGATATTTTAAATTTGGCAGTTTCGATTTCTCGATTTTTCGTTATTCGGATTTTAAATTTTAGATTTTTGAATTTTACATTTTTTCGATTTTCTGATGTTTCATTTTTCGATTTTCAGTTCTTCGATATTTCGATTTTTCAATGTTTCGGTTTTACGATTTTTTAAGGTTTCGATTTTTCGACTATTAGATTTCTCGATTTTTCGTATTTTCGATTATTTTTATTTTTTATTATTTTTTTTTTCTCACTGTTAATATCATTTCTCGCAGAAATTATAGTCATAACCAACCAAATCGCTTCTGAACGCTTAGAGTCGACATTGGCCTGAGCGCGCTCTGGTCTGTAGATCAAACAAGTTATCAACAATGTCAATAATAAGGGTGGTTTTGCAAAATCAGCCTGTATGTCGCATCTATATTAATCTATGGCATTAAACCCAGTTAGGGATTTTCAGTTTTCGACTACGTCAAACATTATTTATAAATAATAATGTGATAATAATATCGGCAAAATAACATTGATAACCTCAAAACGAACAAAATAAACGCAACAAGATGTTGGTTAACAATTTAAACAGGTATTTTTTACAAAACCTGATGTTTCTTTCGAAACGATTACAAAGTACGCAAGTGTCTTCCAACCACTATGACATCATAGTCGCCGGGGGTGGTATGGTGGGCACCACCCTTGCTTGCACTCTAGGTTCATTGCTCCGTAATCTGAAAGTAATCACAAACCTAAACGTGGCTTTATTTCAGGAAAAAACCCGAAATTCGCCGACAAGAAAATTCTGCTTCTTGAAAGTAGCAAAAAGTCCCAGTGGAGGCTCCCTGAAACCTATAGCAACCGGGTGTCCGCTTTGAATGCAGCCACGGTCGATTTATTGAAGGACATAGACGCTTGGAAACACATATCAGGTGCCAGATTTGGTCCAGTCAAGCGGATGCAGGTTACTTTATAGTTAAAAGTGGCTATAAATTTAATGGGGGTATTGTAGGTGTGGGATGCCTCTTCAGAAGCCGCTATCACTTTTGAAAACGACGGTTTTGAAGAACCTGTAGCTTATATTGTCGAAAACGATCTTTTATTGGATGCTGTGCGAAATGAATTACAAAATGTGAACACTGTGGAGGTTGTGTATCAGGCTAAAGTAGAAAGTTGTCGGCCTCCGAGGGAAGGCGAGGACGAGGTGAATTTGGGTCTGGAGAATGGGACGTCATACACTTGTGATTTGTTGGTAAGTGGTATTCGAAAATTGCGGGTGTGTATTACTGGTTGCATACATTGCGTTATTTTTTTAATTGTACAGTTTATAAAAATTTTACACTAATTCTTCGCACCTCTAAGCATCTGCGTTGTAATAAACTCCACCTTTTGTCTGAAGACTCTACTGTACTCCGCGAACTCCCTCTGAATTTCTTCCAGCTCCGTTCGTAGCGCCATCTGTTTATCCAATCCGGCGAAAGTGCTCGAGTACGAGTTCATTCTTGATAGCGGCGGCGAAACTCCTTCTTTTCCTCCGTGGTTTCTCCTTCCTCTCGGCTACCATATGGTATATGCTTCTGATCAAATCCTTCGGAATTCTCTCCTCCCGGGGATTGTTGGGTTTGATATAAAGCGCCCCGTGGTACTGCGACTTCAACAACAGCGCCTGCTTGTGAAAGAACTTCATTAGTTTGTGCGGGATGCACCTCAACAAGCGCGAAAAAAGCATGGATTCCAAGTGGGCAACGAGTTCAGCTTGTCGGACGAGTCTATCCAAACCCGCGCTCTGTTGCAGACCTTGGATATGACTAACCGCCAAACCAAGCCGAGGATCTTTTTAAAAATGTAAAACCTTCCCGGGGGCCTCAAAAGTATTTTTTTAATGTGAAACTTTCTCGGAAGTCCCAAGTGTCTTTTTTAAAAATGTAAAACCTTCTCAAGGCCACAAATGTATTTTTTAGGAATGTGAAACCTTCTCGGGGATCCCAAGTGTCATTTTTAAGAATGCAAAACCTTCTCGGGGGCCCCAAATGTCTTTTTTGATCTGAAACCTTCACAGGGATCTCAACTGTGTTTTTTAAAAATGTAAAACCTTCTGAAGGCCCCAAATGTATTTTTTAGGAATGTGAAACCTTCTCGGGGATCTCAAGTGTCTTTTTTAAAAATGTAAAACCTTTTCGGGGGCCTCGAAAGTATTTTTTTTTAATGTGAAACTTTCTCGGAAGTCCCAAGTGTCTTTTTTAAAAATTTAAAACCTTCTCAAGGCCACAAATGTATTTTTTAGGAATGTGAAACCTTCTCGGGGATCCCAAGTGTCATTTTTAAGAATGTAAAACCTTCTCGGGGGCCCCAAATGTCTTTTTTGATCAGAAACCTTCACAGGGATCTCAACTGTCTTTTTTAAAAATGTAAAATCTTCTCAAGGCCCCAAATGTATTTTTTAGGAATGTGAAACCTTCTCGGGGATCTCAAGTGTCTTTTTTAAAAATGTAAAACCTTCTCGGCGGCCTCGAAAATATTTTTTTTTATTGTGAAACTTTCTCGGAAGTCCCGAGTGTCTTTTTTAAAAATTTAAAACCTTCTCAAGGCCACAAATGTATTTTTTAGGAATGTGAAACCTTCTCGGGGATCCCAAGTGTCATTTTTAAGAATGTAAAACCTTCTCGAGGGCCCCAAATGTCTTTTTTGATCTGAAACCTTCACAGGGATCTCAACTGTCTTTTTTAAAAATGTAAAATCTTCTCAAGGCCCCAAATGTATTTTTTAGGAATGTGAAACCTTCTCGGGGATCTCAAGTGTCTTTTTTAAAAATGTAAAACCTTCTCGGGGGCCTCGAAAGTATTTTTTTTTAATGTGAAACTTTCTCGGAAGTCCCAAGTGTCTTTTTTAAAAATTTAAAACCTTCTCAAGGCCACAAATGAATTTTTTAGGAATGTGAAACCTTCTCGGGGATCCCAAGTGTCATTTTTAATAATGTAAAACCTTCTCGGGGGCCCCAAATGTCTTTTTTGATCTGAAACCTTCACAGGGACCTCAACTGTCTTTTTTAAAAATGTAAAATCTTCTCAAGGCCCCAAATGTATTTTTTGGGAATGTGAAACCTTCTCGGAGATCTCAAGTGTCTTTTTTAAAAATGTAAAACCTTCTCGGGGGCCTCGAAAGTATTTTTTTTTAATGTGAAACTTTCTCGGAAGTCCCAAGTGTCTTTTTTAAAAATGTAAAACCTTCTCAAGGCCACAAATGTATTTTTTAGGAATGTGAAACCTTCTCGGGGATCCCAAGTCTCATTTTTAAGAATGTAAAACCTTCTCGGGGGCCCCAAATGTATTTTTTTTAAGAATGTGAAACTTTCTCGGGAGTGCCAAGTGTCTTTTTTAAAAATATAAAACCTTGCCGGGGGCCTGAAAAGTAATTTTTTTAATGTGAAACTTTCTTGGAAATCCCAAGTGTCTTTTTTAAAAATGTAAAACCTTCTCAAGGCCACAAATGTATTTTTTAGGAATGTGAAACCTTCTCGGGGATCCCAAGTGTCATTTTTAAGAATGTAAAACCTTCTCGAGGGCCCCAAATGTCTTTTTTGATCTGAAACCTTCACAGGGATCTCAACTGTCTTTTTTAAAAATGTAAAATCTTCTCAAGGCCCCAAATGTATTTTTTAGGAATGTGAAACCTTCTCGGGGATCTCAAGTGTCTTTTTTAAAAATGTAAAACCTTCTCGGGGGCCTCAAAAGTATTTTTTTTAATGTGAAGCTTTCTCGGAAGCCCCAAGTGTCTTTTTTAAAAATGTAAAACCTTCTCAAGGCCACAAATGTATTTTTTAGGAATGTGAAACCTTCTCGGGGATCCCAAGTGTCATTTTTAAGAATGTAAAACCTTCTCGGGGGCCTCAAAAGTATTTTTTTTTAAGAATGTGAAACCTTCTCGGGAGTGCCAAGTGTCTTTTTAAAAACGTAAAACCTTGCCGGGGGCCTGAAAAGTATTTTTTTTAATGTGAAACTTTCTCGGAAGTCCCAAGTGTCTTTTTTAAAAATGTAAAACCTTCTCAAGGCCACAAATGTATTTTTTAGGAATGTGAAACCTTCTCGGGGATCCCAAGTGTCATTTCTAAGAATGTAAAACCTTCTCGGGGGCCCCAAATGTATTTTTTTTTTTTAAGAATGTGAAACCTTCTCGGGAGTGCCAAGTGTCTTTTTTAAAAATGTAAAACCTTCTCGGGGGCCTGAAAAGTATTTTTTTTTAATGTGAAACTTTCTTGGAAGTCCCAAGTGTCTTTTTTAAAAATGTAAAACCTTCTCAAGGCCACAAATGTATTTTTTAGGAATGTGAAACCTTCTCGGGGATCTCAAGTGTCATTTTTAAGAATGTAAAACCTTCTCGGGGGCCCCAAATGTATTTTTTTTTAAGAATGTGAAACCTTCTCGGGAGTGCCAAGTGTCTTTTTTTAAAAATTTAAAACCTTGCCGGGGGCCTGAAAAGTATTTTTTTTAATGTGAAACTTTCTTGGAAGTCCCAAGTGTCTTTTTTAAAAATGTAAAACCTTCTCAAGGCCACAAATGTATTTTTTAGGAATGTGAAACCTTCTCGGGGATCCCAAGTGTCATTTTTAAGAATGTAAAACCTTCTCGGGGGCCCCAAATGTATTTTTTTTTTAAGAATGTGAAACCTTCTCGGGAGTGCCAAGTGTCTTTTTTAAAAATGTAAAACCTTCTCGGGGGCCTGAAAAGTATTTTTTTTTATGTGAAACTTTCTCGGAAGCCCCAAGTGTCTTTTTTAAAACTGTAAAACCTTCTCAAGGCCACAAATGTATTTTTTAGGAATGTGAAACCTTCTCGGGGATCCCAAGTGTCATTTTTAAGAATGTAAAACCTTCTCGAGGGCCCCAAATGTCTTTTTTGATCTGAAACCTTCACAGGGATCTCAACTGTCTTTTTTAAAAATGTAAAACCTTCTCAAGGCCCCAAATGTATTTTTTAGAAATGTGAAACCTTCTCGGGGATCTCAAGTGTCTTTGTTAAAATTGTGAAACCTTCTCGGGGATCCCAAGTGTCTTTTCAAAAATGTAAAACCTTCTCGGGGGCCCCAAATGTATTTTTTTTTTTAAGAATGTGAACCCTTCTCGGGAGTGTCAGTTGTATTTTTTTAAGAATGTAAAACCTTCTCAAGGCCACAAATGTACTTTTTTAAGAATGTGAAACCTTCTCAGGGGTCCCAAGTGTCTTTTTTAAGAATGTAAAACCTTCTCAGGGGCGCCAATTGTATTTTTTTAAGAATGTAAAACCTTCTCAAGGCCACAAATGTACTTTTTTAAGAATGTGAAACGTTCTCAGGGGTCCCAAGTGTCTTTTTTAAGAATGTAAAACCTTCTCAGGGGCCCCAAGTGTCTTTTTTAATCTGAAACCTTCACGGGGATCTCAACTGTCTTTTTTAAAAATCTAAAACCTTCTCAAGGCCCCAAATGTATTTTTTAGGAATGTGAAACCTCGGGGATCTCAAGTGTCTTTTTTAAAAATGTGAAACCTTCTCGGGGGGTCCCAAGTGTCTTTTTTTTTAATTTAAAACCTTTTCAAGGCCCCAAATGTATTTTTTAGGAATGTGAAACCTTCTCGGGAATCCCAAGTGCCTTTTTTTAAAATGTATGACCTTCTCGGGGGCCCCAAATGTATTTTTTTTAAGAATGTGAAACCTTCTCGGGAGTGCCAAGTGTCTTTTTTAAAAATGTAAAACATTCTCGGGGGCGCCAAATGTATTTTTTTAAGAATGTGAAACCTTGTCCGGGGTCCCAACTGTCTTTTTAAAAATGTAAAACCTTCTCGGGGGGCCCGAATGTCTTTTTTAATCTGAAACCTTCACGGGGATCTCAACTGTCTTTTTTTAAAATGTCAAATCTCCTCAAGGCCCCAAATGTATTTTTTAGGAATGTGAAACCTTGTCGGGGATCTCAAGTGTCTTTTTTAAAAATGTAAAACCTTCTCGGGGGCCTCGAAAGTAATTTTTTTAATGTGAAACTTTCTCGTACGTCCCAAGTGTCTTTTTTAAAACTGTAAAACCTTCTCAAGGACACAAATGTATTTTTTAGGAATGTGAAACCTTCTCGGGGATCTCAAGTGTCATTTTTAAGAATGTAAAACCTTCTCGAAGGCCCCAAATGTCTTTTTTGATCTGAAACCTTCACAGGGATCTCAACTGTCTTTTTTAAAAATGTAAGACCTTCTCAAGGCCACAAATGTACTTTTTAGGAATGTGAAACCTTCTCGGGGATCTCAAGTGTCTTTTTTAAAATTGTGAAACCTTCTCGGAGGTCCCAAGTGTCTTTTCAAAAATGTAAAACCTTCTCGGGGGCCCCAAATGTATTTTTTTTTAAGAATGTGAAACCTTCTCGGGAGTGCCAATTGTATTTTTTTAAGAATGTAAAACCTCAAGGCCACAAATGTACTTTTTTAAGAATGTGAAACCTTCTCAGGGGTCCCAAGTGTCTTTTTTAAGAATGTAAAACCTTCTCAGGGGCGCCAATTGTATTTTTTTAAGAATGTAAAACCTTCTCAAGGCCACAAATGTACTTTTTTAAGAATGTGAAACGTTCTCAGTGGTCCCAAGTGTCTTTTTTAAGAATGTAAAACCTTCTCAAGGCCACAAATGTACTTTTTTAAGAATGTGAAACCTTCTCAGGGGTCCCAAGTGTCTTTTTAAAACTGTAAAACCTTCTCGGGGGCCTCAAAAGTATTTTTTTTTTATGTGAAACCTTCTCGGAGACCCCAGCTGTCTTTTTAAAAATGTGAAACCTTCTCGGGGGGCCAAATGTCTTTTTAAATCTGAAACCTTCACGGGGATTCCAACTGTCTTTTTTAAAAATGTAAAACCTTCTCAAGACCCCAAATGTATTTTTTAGAAATGTGAAACCTTCTCGGAGGTCCCAAGTGTCTTTTTTAAAAATGTAAAACCTTCTCGGTGTGGCCCCAAATGTATTTTTTTAAGAATGTGAAACCTTCTCGGGAGTCCCAAATGTTTTCTTTTTTTAATGTAAAAATTTGTGATTTGTAGGTGTGGTTATGTATTACTGGTTGCATACATTGAAATGCGTTATTTTAACTTTATTTTTTAATAAGAGAACAATTATACAGTTTATAAAAATTTAACACTAATTCTTCGCACCTCTAAGCATCTGCGTTGTAATAAACTCCACCTTTTGTCTGAAAACTCTACTGTACTCCGCGAACTCCCTCTGAATTTCCTCCAGCTCCGTCCGTAGCGCCATCTGTTTATCCAATCCGGCAAAAGTACTCGAGTACGAGTTCATTCTTGATAGCGGCGGTGAAACAAAATCGTAGTAGCCCTTATTACTCCTTCTTTTCCTCCGTGGTTTCTCCTTCCTCTCGGCTACCATATGGTATATGCTCCTGATCAAATCCTTCGGGATTCTCTCCTCCCGGGGATCGTTGGGTTTGATATAAAGCGCCCAGTGGTACTGCGACTTCAACAGCAGCGCCTGCTTGTGAAAGAACTTCATAAGTTTGTGCGGGATGCACCTCAACAAGCGCGAAAAAAGCATGGATTCCAAGTGGGCAACGAGTTCAGCTTGTCGGACGAGTCTATCCAAACCCGCGCTCTGTTGCAGACCTTGGATATCACTAACCGCCAAACCCACCATAAGGTTGGCCAGAATAACAGTGACAAGAATAACGAAAGCCAGGAACATGATCTGCGCCGTCCATTCGTACTCTATGGGGGCGTCGGGGTCGTAGAAGATGTCTTCGTACTCGAGCTCCCCGGACATCATCACCAGGACTTTAATAATTACCCATTTTAAGTCTTTGAAGGATTTGTAGTTGGCGAAGAGGACGCCGAAGCTGAGGGCGAACGCCAAAAGGAGACAGAAGTAGGCCGCTACGAACTTAACGAAGTTGACGGAGACGGTAGTGAACATTTGGATGTAGAGGCCGAAGATTGGGAATCTTCCGACGATCATCATGAGTTCCAGCCAGGCGAAGAAAATCCCGATGGCGGCGACGTGGTGCTGCCAATTATCCACGCTAGCACGAACATTCATATGGTGACGTGGTTGCACGCAGCAGAACACGGTGATGATGATAAGCCACTGCAACCAGTTCTCCCACTGTTTGATGTAGATGCGCCAGGAGTGGCAAATCTGGAACATCTCTTTCCCCAGAAGCATGAAATTGAAGCAGAGGAGAAAATACCCGAAGATCTCGACGTCGTTGGCTACGTGGCACGGAGACAGTGCTAGAAGACTCCTCTGCGAAGGACAATACTTAAGAAACACACCGATGACGTAGTAAGTATACAAAACCACAAACAGAGAGTGGTAGAACAAACTGAAGAGAAAAAATTTTCGGATGCGCCTCCACTTCAAAAACAAGAAGGTTTCGCAGAGTGGGTGCTTGAGCACCTCGCGGTGTCCCACCTCGATGAAGTTCAACAACAATTCGGTTTCTTTGTGCCCCATCGTCGGCACCAGGATTCTAAAGTCGAGCTTTAGCTCACAATCCACGTCCCCCAGCTCATGGTCGCTCACCTGCACCGACCCGTCGAACTTGGCTATGTACTTCGGGATGACGTCGGGCGTTTTCCTGGTGATGAAGCTCAACACCGACACGCCGCCGTTCGTCCTCATAGTGACGTCGCCGCCGTGGTTCAACAACAACATAACGCAGTTGGAGAACTCGTTGAGGGCGGCGAGGTGCAACGGCGTGTAGCCGAAGGAGTCTTGTCTATTGACGTCGGCGCCGGCGTTGAGCAGCAGCCGCACGCACTCGCACGAGCGCGACACCTTGACGATGGCGCTGTGCAAGGGCGTGCGGCCGTCGACGTCGCGCGCGTTGGGGTTGGCGCCGCGGTTGAGCAGCAACTCCAGAGTCTCCGAGCACTGACCTAGTGCGGCGAGGTGCAGCGGCGTCTGCTTCTTGTGGTTCTCGCTGGAGAGCTGGGCGCCGGCGTCGATGAGCAAACGAGCGCACTGGGCGTCGCCGTCCTCGGCGGCCAGATGCAACGGCGTGAGTTTATCGGTACCGGACTGGACGTTAACAGCGGCGCCGTGCGATAGCAACAGCGCGACGATCTCCGAAGACCCGAGGGAAGCGGCCACGTGAAGCGGGGTCTCGCTGTACACCTGGGGCGTGTTCGGGATCGCGTTACTCTCCAGGAGCTCCTTCACACAGTCGACCGCCAGGCTCTGCACGGCGTAGTGTAAAGCGCTCTTGTTGCTAAGTCCGGCGTTGACGTCGGCGCCGTGGCGCAGCAGCATCCTCAAACAAGCTAAATTTCCTTTGCTGGCGGCGCAGTGCAGAGGGGTGGCGCGGTTTGGGCAGTCCTTGCCGTTGACGTCGGCGCCGTGCTGCAGCAGGAGTTTCATGCATTCGGTGTTTCCGACGCAGGCTGCCAAGTGTAATGCGCCTCTGTAAACAAACATTGAGAGCGTGTTGGTGAAAAGTTGGTGGTCGACCTGCCCGATTCGTCGGCAGCGGCTTCCACGGTGACGCCGTTGGCGAAGAGTTCCTGTAAGATTTGTTCCTTTTCGAGCCAGGTGGCGATGAGGAGGACGCTCCTGGGGTCGTGTTTGAGGAGTTTGTCGGGGGCGTTTTGGTTGATTGGGTCGATGATTTGGTCGGCGTCGGGGAGGGCCTACGAAGAAAATAAAGAGTGACTGTGTTCTTAAATTAAGTTACAATGAATGTGTATTTTAAGGTTGGATTTGTTCGTGTCAAACAAATGCTATTAACATCATGGGTGTTTATTTTGGTTAATTTTTTGGGTGTATTTATTGAGGAAATTAATTTTAGATGTGTATTTAAATCTTGTTCACGTTTTACAGATGCACCGACGTCGAATTTACTTGCGAAATAGCGGAAACCGACTATTAATGACTAAAACAAATTTTGAGTTGGCAATTCTGGATTATTGGCAGCAATGCCAGTTAACAGTTATCAATTTTGACATGAGCAACAAAAAAAACGCCTTTGACCATGGATTTTTTAAGTTTTGTCTTTGATAGAATTTTCGTCTTGTCAGATGTCAATTTAAAAGTTTAAGTTGAAAATACAACTATCAAAGACAAACTTTAAAAAAATCCATGGTTGTCTTTAACCGACTTTGATTGACAAGTTTTTTAACAGTATTTACAAAAAAATCTAAAATATAATTTCTCAATGGTAATCTCAGTTTTTTCATATTTTTCGCTCTGGTTAAGTATATATTTTTCTCCTAAAAGCTTGATCATTGGTGTGATAATCTCGAAACTACTGGACTGATTATTGTCAAATTGTGTATGTGTTTCTAATCAGCCCCATCAACAATTTGATAACGTCCACTTTTTCAAAACTAATATGTGGTTGCAGTTGAAAATTTTAGCTTTATTTATATCTCAAATAACGAATGACATAACGAAAAACGGGTACTTATTGATTCGCCCTGTATATATTTTTATAGTAATCGAGTCCATCAGACGAATGGCCACTTTTATATTTTCTCGACGTTTCATGACCCCTAGAGTCTGTTGTCTCTATCCATTTTTTTTAGACACATAATCTCCGATACTGCTGGAGCCATTGTTGTCAAATTATGAATGTATATTAGAAATATCGTAAAGATGGTAAATGCTAACCAAAATTTTGCTAATCATTCCCACCAACAATTTGATGACGTCATTTCAAAGAATTCTGTGTATATTTCATTTAACTGTTATGCGACAATATAATTCTAGAGTGTATAAGTGTGGTGTACGAATCCGCCTTGAGTTTTTCCCCTAAACGTCCACATATTTGCAAAAATATAATGCACGGTACAATAACAGCTTAGCATCAAAAATGTAAAATCCCCTCGAGGCCCCAAATGTTTTTTTAAAGAATGTGAAACCTTCTCGGGGGTCTCAAGTGTCTTTTTTTAAATGTGAAACCTTCTCGGAGGTCCCAAGTAGCTTTTTAAAAATGTAAAACCTTCTCGGAGGCCCCAAATGTATTTTTTTAATAATGTGAAACTTTCTCAGGAGTCCCAACTCTCTTTGTAAAAATGTAAAATCTTCTCGGGGCCCCCAAATGTCTTTTTTTATGTGAAACCTTGTCGGGGGTCCCAAATGTGTTTTTTTTTTAATGTGAAACCTTCTCGGAGGTCCCAACTATCTTTTTAAAAATGTGAAACCTTCTCGGAGGCCCTATTTTTTTTTTTTTTTTTTTAATGCGAAACCTCGGGGTCCCAAGTATCTTTTTTTTTTAATGTGAAACCTTCTCGGGCGTTCCAACTATCTTTTTAAAAATGTAAAATCTTCTCGGGGGCCCCAAATGTTTTTTTATGCGAAACCTTCTCGGGGATCCTAACTGTATTTTTACTTCCCGAGCGTAAGCAAAGGAAGTATTGTAATCGAGTCCGTCGGCCGACTCTCTACTTTTACGTTTTCTCGATCTTTCATGACCCCTAGAAGACGAAGAAATAGGTCTCCCATTTCCGTCTGTCTGTCCGTCTGTCCGTCTGTCCGTCCGTCTGTCCGTCTGTCCGTCTGTCCGTCTGTCCGTCCGTCTGTCCGTCTGTTGTCCCGGATTTTTATTAGACAGATAATCTCCGAAAGTACTCGACCGATTGTTGTGAAATTTTGTACTTATATTAAGAATATCATGTAGATGGTAAAACGCTAACCAAAATTTGTCTAATCATCCCCACCACTAATGCGATGACGTCACTTCAAAATTGTACATAGTAAATGGGTTTTCAATTGTATAAAATAACATAGTCCTACACATGTAGTTTACAACTCCGAATCGACTTTTCACTCGAAACGTCCAGATTTTTGGAAAAAAAATCAAAATTATAAAACAACATTTTGAAATTTAATTTTTAATCTGCTAACCAGAATGCTTTGAAATGTTGCAGATGTTTTAAGGCTATAAAGAGCATCATAAATCTTTAGTCAAAAAATATTTGCTTATCCCCTCCAAAAACTTGATGACGTCAGCTCAAAAGTTTGTGGAATAAATCATATCTAAAATGTACAAAATATGATGAGTCTGTACTTGTGATCTATCACTCCATTCATATTTTTTGGATTTGCATATACAGGGTGACTCAAAAAAATTAATGAATGCGTAAATTTATTTTACTAATTTACTCAGAAACTACAAAACCGAATGCTTTGAAATCTTGCAGATGTTTTAAGGTTATGAAGAGCATAATAAATGTTTAGTCAAAATATATTTGCTTATCCCCTCCAAAAAATTGATGACGTCAGCTCGAAAATTTGCCGAATAAATCCTATCTAAACTGTAAAAATATGATGAGTCTGTACTTGTAATTTATCACTCCATTCATATTTTTTGGATTTGCATATACAGGGTGACTCAAAAAAATTAATGAACGCGTAAATATATTTTATTGATTTAATCAGGAACTACAAAACCGAATGCTCTGAAATCTTGCAGATGTTTTAAGGTCATAAAGAGCATAATAAATGTTTAGTCAAAATATATTTGCTTATCCCCTCCAAAAACTTGACGACGTCAGCTCGAAAGTTTGCCGAATAAATCCTATCTAAACTGTACAAAATATGATGAGTCTGTACTTGTGATTTATCACTCCATTGATTTTTTTTTGGATTTGCATATACAGGGTGACTCAAAAAAATTAATGAATGCGTAAATTTATTTTATTGATTTACTCAGGAACTACAAAACCGAATTCTTTGAAATCCACTGCGAAAAAAAAAACATAATAGGCATGCAGTCGTCACGTTTCCGACAGCGAGGGAAGTACTGTCTAAACTCTTTAGACCAATTTTTTTTTTTTTAACGTGAAACCTTCTCGATGGTCCCAAGTATCTTTTTTTTATGTGAAACCTTCTCGGAGGTCCCAACTATCTTTTTAAAAATGTGAAACCTTCTCGGAGGCCCTAATTTTTTTTTTTTTTTTTTTAATGCGAAACCTCGGGGTCCCAAGTATCTTTTTTTTTTAATGTGAAACCTTCTCGGGCGTTCCAACTATCTTTTTAAAAATGTAAAATCATCTCGGGGGCCCCAAATGTTTTTTTATGCGAAACCTTCTCGGGGATCCTAACTGTATTTTTTTTTTTAACGTGAAACCTTCTCGATGGTCCCAAGTATCTTTTTTTTTATGTGAAACCTTTTCGGAGGTCCCAACTATCTTTTTAAAAATGTAAAACCTTCTCGGAGGCCGTAAATTTTTTTTTTTTTTTTAATGCGAAACCTCGGGGTCCCAAGTATATCTTTTTTTTAATGTGAAACCTTCTCGGGAGTTCCAACTGTCTTTTTGAAAATGTAAAACCTTCTCGGGCGTTCCAACTATCTTTTTAAAAATGTAAAATCTTCTCGGGGGCCCCAAATGTTTTTTTATGCGAAACCTTCTTGGGGGTCCTAACTATATTTTTTTAAGAATGTGAAACCTTCTCGGTGGTCCCAAGTATCTTTTTTTTATGTAAAACCTTCTCGGAGGTCCCAGTTGTCTTTTTTAAAAATGTAGTATCTTCTCGGGCGCCCCAAATGTTTTTTTTTTTTAATGTGAAACCTTCTCGGGAGTCCTAAGTATCTTTTTTTTATGTGAAACCTTCTCTGGAGTTCCAACTGGTAGTCTCCCGTTTCCCTCTGTCTGTCTGTCTGTTGTCCCAACAATCTTTTTAAAAATATAAAATCTTCTCGGGGGTCCCAACTGTATTTTATTAAGAATGTGAAACCGTCTCGGGAGTTCCAAGTATCTTTTTTTTTTATGTAAAACCTTCTCGGAGGCTCCAAATGTATTTTTTTAAGAATGTGAAACCTTCTCAGGGGTCCCAACTCTCTTTTTAAAAATTTAAAATCTTCTCGGTGGCCCCAATTTTTTTTTTTAATGCAAAACCTTCTCGGGGGGGCCCAAATGTATTTTTTTAAGAATGTGAAACGTTCTCGGGGTCCCAACTCTCTTTTTAAAAATTTAAAATCTCCTCGGGGTCCCAAATGTTTTTTTTAATGCGAAACCTTCTCGGGAGTCCCAACTGAATTTTTTTAAGAATGTGAAACCTTCTCGGGAGTCCCAAGTATCTTTTTTTTAATGTGAAACCGTTTCGGAGGTCCCAACTGTCTTTTTAAAAATGTAAAACCTTCTCGGAGGCCCCATATGTATTTTTTTTAATAATATGAGACCTTCTCGGGGGTCCCAACTCTCTTGGGAAAAATCTTGTCGGGGTCTCCAAATGTTTTTTTTTTTATGCAAAACCTTCCCGGGAGTCCCAAGTATTTTTTTTTTTTTTATAATGTAAAACCTTCTCGGAGGCTCCAAATGTACCTATTTTTTTAAGAATGTGAAACCTTCTCAAGAGTCCCAACTCTCTTTTTAAAAACGTAAAATGTCCTCGGGGTCTCCAAATGTTTTTTCTTTTTTTTTAATGCAAAACCTTCCCGGGAGTCCCAAGTATCTTTTTTTTAATGTAAAACCTTCTCGGAGGCTCCAAATGTATTTTTTTAAGAATGTGAAACCTTCTCAGGGGTCCCAACTCTCTTTTTAAAAATTTAAAATCTTCGCGGAGTCTCCAAATTTTTTTTTTTTATGCAAAACCTTCCTGGGAGTCCCAAGTATCTTTTTTTTTTAATGTAAAACCTCGTAGGCTCCAAATGTATTTTTTTAAGAATGTGAAACCTTCTCAAGGGTCC